ACCTTCCCCAAGGAGTGAAGCACCTCGATCTGTCCCACAACTTCCTTCAGAACCTGTCGGAGAGCCGCCTGCCTGCACTGGGGCAGCTCGAGCACCTGGACCTGCGCTCCAACCGCCTGGAGGCCATCTCGGGGTCAGTGCTGGCCCAGCTGCCACGGCTGCACTCACTGCTGCTGGGCTCCAACCGCCTGCACCAAAACCATCAGGACAATGCAGTGGCTTTCAGTGCACTGCAGGGTATAGAGGTGCTGGACTTGTCGGCCAATGGCTTGGAGAGCCACATGGTGAGGGGGTTTCTGAGTGGCCTCACTACACTGCGGGTGCTGCACCTGCACAGAAACAGGCTGAGCCAGCTGCCAGCGGGCATCTTCCAGGGCTCCCCATGGCTGAGTGAGCTGGATCTCAGCAACAACTACATCATGGACATCGAGGAGGGAGCGTTCGAGGCATTGCGGGAGCTGGTAGTGCTCAGCCTGGCCCTGAACTCCCTGCACTGCCTCTCCAGCTTCAGCCTGCGGCAGCTGCAAGTCCTGAACCTGAGCCACAACGCCCTGGAGCTGTTTGGCTGGGAGGAGGGACGGGGTCCCTACCTGCTCCAGGTGCTCGACCTGAGCCACAACCGACTGCTCTCCTTCCCACAGCTCCCAGCCGCGCACCGCCTTGTGCACCTCAACCTCTCCCACAACTTCATCACTTCGCTGGACCCCAGCTCACATCACCCAGCCCAGTTTGTGCTGCACTACGAGGAGATGGTGAGCTTCAGCACCTCACTGGGCACCGCAGTCAGCCTGACCCGCCTGGCCGAGCTGGACCTCAGCTACAACTGCCTGCAGCTGCTTCCGCTGCTGTTCTTCCATGCCATGCGCTCCCTGTTCACTCTCAGCGTGGCCATGAACTGCCTCCAGGACATCACCATGGAGCTGATGACCAGAGATGGGGATGGGGACAGGAATGGCACAGCTGCGTGGCAGGAGGATGCAGCGCTCTCCTTGCGCTCCATGGACTTCCATGGCAATGCTATCCGTGCTCTGCCTCGTTGGTTCTTTGATGCCCTGCCCCAGCTGGAAGCCATTGACCTGGGCTCCAACAGCCTTCAGCCCTGCGGGAGTGACATGGGGGAGATACCAGGAGGGGGCTCTCCAAGGTCAGAACCCTGCACCGCCTTCCACAGCATCCCCCACCTGCAGCACCTCAGCCTTCGCAGGAACAGCCTCACCCAGCTGCTGCCCCGCACCTTCAGCCGAACCCCACTGCTCTCCTTGGACCTGTCTGAGAACCAGGGCCTGGCCGTGCCACGGGTGGCACTGGAGGGTTTGGAGCACTCCCTGCAGCAGCTCTGGCTGCGGGGGAACCACATGGACAACAGCAGGGCTGAGATCCCCTGCTTGGATGAGCTCAGGGTGTTGGACCTCTCGGGCAACCGCCTGAGCCTTCTGCCCACAGGTTTGTCCTGCTCCCCGCTGCAAACTCTGGATGTCAGCGGTAACGAGCTGCCAGCACTGCCCAAGCAGGCACTGATGGGGTGGACCCACAGCCTGCAGGCACTGTGCCTAGCAGGGAACCCCTTCCATTGCTGCGAGCTGGGCTGGCTGGATGCTCTGCAGGCAGCTGGTGTGCAACTGCCTGACCTGCACCGCGCACGCTGCATCCACCACAGGGTCACAAACAGGACAGCACCGCTCAGCAGCCGCCCGCCGTGGCCGTGCCCACAGCCCTGGGATGGCAGCTCAGTGCTGGTGCTGACAACCCTGCTGGGTGTCCTGCTGTGTGCAGGCTGCAGGGTGTGCTGGCTGCGGGGCCACGGGATGGGCATCCTGCTGCCCCAGCCCCAGACAGACAGAGTGGCCGAGGGGGGGCCAGCACAGAGCGACACTGAAGTATAGCCAGGGGAAACAACTGCAGCTCTGTGTTGTCAATAATACTATTAGTATTATGTTTCAGGCACCTCTCCCAACACGCTGCATGTTCTGCAGATGTGACTGCAGACACCCAGCGCTGGGCAGGCACCGGGCAGAACTGAGTCCCTGCAGCCCATTCGTTGCTGGGAGGAAGGTGCCCCATCCTCAGGGCCATGAGCAGTGCCAGGAGAGGTTCTGCCCTCTGCTCATGGGAAGGGAATTGTCCCTGCAGCCAGGAGCGTGGTGCCACCACCATGAGTTCAGCAGCCCGGCTTCCAGCTGGCACCCATAGGGTCAGCAAGAGATGGACAGGGCAGCAGATGGGCGCTGGCTTTGCCAAGGGGCTGAGAAATCAAGGAGAGCAACCAAAGGAGGACAAAGAGGGACTGAGGTGTGGAAATCAACCCAGGGAAATGGTGCATGGTCCTCTGCATCTGTGTCTGATTCAACAAGCAGTTCTCCAGGCTGCATCCCATGGTTGCTCCCAGCAGAGCCCCATGGTTTTGGTGTTAGGAGCTTTCTCTTGGTTGAACATGAGGTTGAGAGATCCAAAGAACGTTGATGCCAAACTGAAATGATTGTGTCAAAATGCTGCGATTTGTGCCCAGCTGTGGGACAGTGCAATTCCTGGTCTGAGAGGAGTGCTGTGGCTGACAAACCCTGAGCATTACAGATTTTCTAGAGAATCAGTTGAGAAATCCAGCAAAACTAATTCTTTCCAGTGGAAACCTTTCACATGTGACTGAATCACTCCATTTTCAAAGTAAAACAAATTTTATCAGAAGTTCCCAACTGGCTGCTCTGCTAACTTACGTGGAAATCACCTTGCCTGCAACTAACTCGAGTTAAGGCATAGTTGAGCTTTACCCCCCTTTTCTCCATAGGATCAGGAGCCTGGCTGGGGGCTGTGGGATGCAGTGGGCAGAGTTCCCCTCGTGCTGTCCTCTGATGGGCACAGCTCAGCTCACACGTCCCCCAGCTCTGCTGTAGGGCTTGCTTGGGGCTGCTGTTCTCCCACTCTGTGTTGCACCCAACTCTCACAGCCACGATAGCAGAGCTGCTGCTGGAGCTGTCCCTACTTTTGAGTTTTTGCTGCTTCTGATCTTAAAGCCACCACCCCCGTACTGCATGCAGGTGGGATTTATGTTTCCAGCAGCTGTGGTGTTCGCTCTGTGGCTTCGGGATGGAACCGGGGCTGATGGCAGTGCCTCTTCCCAGCCCCAGCCCCATCTGCACGTCCTCCAGGACCTCTGCCCGGTGCCCTCCCTTCCGCAGGACGGTGCCACCGCTGCTTCCCATTATCGCTCCGTACCACCGCCTCTGCTGCGTGACTCAGTGCTACCCCCGCCAGCCACTCCTGCCTCATTGGTGAGGTCGAGCGTGTCATGCATGACAGTCTTTTCGTCTTTGCTGGGGCTCCGGCCAGACGGGGACCTGCACCGCCCTCCAGCAGCCGCAGAGCTGCTGGCAGCGAGAGGAGAGGGAAGGCAGCTCCCAGGCATCCCCTGCCTTGTTCTCAGGGGCAGCAGTGCGGATGCAGACAGCTGTTGTACAGCTGGGTGCCCCCACCCCGACGCCTTCTATCCCCCGGTGCCCTGGGGACAGGGCGTGCAGCAGAGCCCAGTCTGTGCTGGGACACTTCTGTCACAGTCACCCCATGGCAATGTCCCCACGTGCTCTGTTCCCTTTGAGCCCGCACCCACAGCAGCTGCACGCCTGTGGTCTCTGTCCCCAGCTGAAAGATGCTGCTGACCCAGGCAGAGCTGAGCGAGCGCCGTGGGAAGTGGGGACGGACCATCACTGTGTGTCAGCGTCCCAACAGCTCAGTTGATGGCACCTCGGGAAGGTCGCTGCCTCCCGCAGCCCTGTGAGCATCCGTCCTGCGCTGAGGTCACCAACACCTCAGAAAGAGGAAGGTGGTGGTTTGGCTCAAGTCAATTGTCACAACCACCACCACAGGGGCACCTCTGGTACCACCCACACCCCAAGACATGACAGAGGTGGGCATGGGGGCTGGGGCCACACTTCACAGGTGTCCCCCCTCTCCTCTCACCCGTACCTGTCCCCAGTTGTGCATCACTGCACTTTCTCCCAGGCAGAGAAGGGGACACCTTTCCCAGGCTGGGAATCCCCTTCCTTGCCTCCTCCTGCATCAAGGCAGCCCCACATGGAAGTGGAAGAGGTATTTTTAGCACTTGCCCTGTGCTCGCTTCATGGATGAGGCTAGAAAGAGGAAGTGACATCAAACGAAGGGCGGCTTTGGCTTTAAAAGGAATCCTTTCTTTCCTACTACTCAGTCGTCGCAAAACTTCTGTGAAGAGGAGTTGGTAGAAATCACCTGGTGGGAGGCAGCGAGTGGGAGGCAGGAGGTTGATGTCAGACATGGATGCTCAGGGCCCAACCGATGCCATCCCACTGCCACCTGTCACCCCTCCAGATCCCAGACAACGACACCATCTGCACCCCAAGCAGTTTTCCTGGCAGTGACACAGCCAATGGGTGCACGAAGAAGAGTGCTGAGGGTGGGACCTGCTGGCCCCCAGGAGGGAGAAGGCAGAGACCCCGAGGGGAAGGGGTGGCCCTAACAGCAAAGCCACTGGCCAGAAGGTGGCAATGTGCCCCCTCCGGCTGGGGCTGGCACTGAGCACCCCGCTAGGATATCACTTTGCCCATCTCTGTGGGCACTGCTGCCCTTCCTGCCCCTCCTGCCCAAATCCCATCATGGCACAGCTGTGCTGACAGGTGTTTGTGAGGGGCAGCTGCTGGCCTTTCTGAGTGATTGCTGCCCCGTGTGCTTGGTGGGATGCTGCAGGCTGAGCACGTGGTGCACAGAAAGCACCCAAGCACCTCCCAGCACTGACAAAAGCTTCTTTTCCTCCTCAAGGAACTCCTCATTCCTCCAGAAGCTGCTCAGATTTCCCCCCGATGTCCCCCTCCAGGCACAAGGCAATTCTCCATTCCTTAAGGTTGAAAAAAGGGGATTTACGGAGAGAAAAATTTCATGACACCAGAATCTTTGGGGTTGGAGTGAAAGGCTCATTTGGTCTCACAGGAGGGAGAAGTGTGGACATTGCATCTGGTTCTGGCCAAGGTAAGAGAAGGATCTGCAAAAGTCGTGGTGTGAAGGTGGGAAGACAAGAAATATCAGGGACTTCCAGAGACCCTCGTGTGCAGTGGTGTCTATACGGCAAACCCATCACAGCAGGGGCTGCAGGGGGAAGGTGTCCCTTCACAGCCCTTGGCAGAGATGGGTGGGATTCACAGATTGGTTCCTCTCTGCCACTCAGCACCTGGGATTTGATTTGATGGCCCAGAGTGGGTTTGCTTTACAGAGGATGGCAGTGCTGAGCCTGAGGTGTGGAAGGAGCAAAGCAAGCAGCTGCTGCCCCAGACAGCAGGGATGCTGCAGGAGGTGCTGAGCTGGTGAGGAGCAGCTGAGCTGGAGCTGAGGAATCGCCTCTGGCCTACAGTGCTTCTCTGCTCTGACCATGGAGGCTGTGCCTGGCAGGCTCTCTCTGCCTTCCTTTTTTTCTCTTTTTGTTCAGCCCTTTGTGCTTACACTCGGGATTTGTGACCCCAGCCTTTTCCTAGCAGGACCCCTCCTCATGGGCACAAAGCACTGTGGCCTTTCCATCCCAATAGAGCACTCTGGGGAGGTCAGCCATTCATGCTGTGCATCCCAGCTCTGGCTCACATGACAGCGAGTCAGTGGGAGGTCAGGGGGTGCTCACCAGACAGCAGCAACATCCTGCAAAGGGAAAGCACCTCCTGCTAGAAGGGAAGTGGCACAGCAAGGGAGAAAGCACAATTCCAAAGGAGAAGTCCCAGACATGAGCCCAGCTGCTGCCCTGCAGTGCATCCAGGCAGACCCACAGCGGCTCCTCTGCAGCTGAGAGCTGCATGCAGGCAACCTGCAGTACCAGGCTGTGAGGTTTCCAGGGCCCTGCTGGCTGGGAAGCTGGCTGTGCTGTGTTTAGGAGGAGTTAACAGCAAGCAAAAAAAGAAAAAAAATCCGGAAATAAGTATCATTCCTTGCCATCCCTTTTGTCCCTTACTAATGTCATCACTGCCTGATTCCCACTAGCCTACATTTCCTGCTTATGGGGACAAGTTTTTATCTGCTGAGAAAATAAGCGTGTGCTTGCTTTGCAAACAAATGGCTCTCCTTGAGCAGCTGAAGGTGAAACTCCCTTGCACCAAGCTGCTCTGTGCTCCCCGAGGAGCAGCTGTTTCAGGGCTGACCGCAGCAGTAGTGGGGTACTTGACCAGTGAGATCCCACTCCAAGAGCACCCAGGGTGGGGACCAGAGCCAGTCAGTGGGGGTGGCCACTCCATCCTCCCCCAACAGCTGTGAGCTGTGAATGGCACCAAAACTGCCTTTGTTCCCCTCCCCAGTGGGCAGGACGAAGGCCAGAGGGTATAAAGGGAGCTGAGGCCCTGCTCCCAGCCCCATCCCCAGCCATGGGCCGATTCACTGTGCCCACTGCTGCAGTGCTGCTCTGCCAGCTGGGGCTCGCCATGGCCATCCAGTGGCTGTGAGTAATGGAGAGCAATTGGGGAACAGGCGGAGGCTCCCTTGGGTGTCCCCTGCAGCAGCTCCCTGGGGTCTGCCCATCTCTCATTCCCTGGGTCCCCATCCCACTGCCTGCAGACCCCAACCTCTCATCCCCAACCTCTCATCCCCATCCCAGTGCCCATCATCCCTGTCTGCTCACCCCCATCCTGTGCTTGTGGTCCCCTCACAACACAACCTCTCTCAACAGAGCACTGGCAGAGAACGGCAGCGGAGCGTCCTGGGACAGAATCCACCACTGCCGGCTCCTGGCTGGACTCGTGCCCGACCAGGTCCAGATATGCCGCAGGAACCTGGAGGTCATGAACAGCATTGTTCAGGCTGCCAGCGAGATCAAGAGCATCTGCCAGAAGACCTTTTCAGGCATGAGGTGGAACTGCTCCTCCATCCAGCGTGCCCCCAGCTTCGGTCCTGACCTGCTGAAAGGTAAAGAAGAAAAAACTTGCTGCCATTACACCGGTGTTAATCGTGTGCCATTCGATCTGCAGGAGATGAGACATCTCCCCCTTTCTTTCCAGGGACCAGGGAATCTGCCTTTGTCCATGCGCTCTCTGCCGCTGCCATTGCACACTCCATTGCCCAAGCCTGTGCCTCAGGGTCACTCCCGCTCTGCTCCTGCGGCTCCGTCCCCTCCGAACTCCCCGGACCGGACTTCAGATGGGGTGGCTGCGGGGACAACCTGCACTACGGCCTCCAGCTGGGTGCTGCTTTTGCTGACAGCCCCCTAAAATCCAACAAGCTGGGATCGCAGGCTCTCAGGGCCATGAATTGGCATAACAACGTGGCAGGAAGGCAGGTGGGTACGGCCCATGGCCCCATGAGGTTGGATATTAGGAAAAATTTCTTCTTGGAAAGAGTGGGATGCACAGCTGCACAGGGAGTGATGGGGCCACTGTCCCTGGAGGTGTCCCAGAACAGGGAGGATGTGGCACTGAGGGATGCAGTGATGGGCATGGTGGGGTGGGCTGGGGCTGGGGATCTGAGAGGGCCCTTCTAACCTCAGTGATTCGATGATTCTGTGATGCAGGGTGCAGTGGTGCCTGAGGTAAGGAGGTAGGCTCCAGAGGAGGACATAGTGTTCCTGAGCCTTTGTGAGAGCTGGGGAAGCTGCCACTCCACTACAAGCTCCACCAGGGCACTTCCCAAAGGTCAGGTTCTTATCACAAGGGGAACAAAGCAGGATGAGTCCTCGATTGCTCCACTGAAAGAAGGCACTCTCTGGCTGTCCCAACAGCACCATGGTCTTTCGCCTCTAAATGAGAGAGAAGAAGTCTCTCTGGTGGCAGTAAGCAGCTCAGCTCTTCCATCTCTTGGAAATGACCATGGATGTTCTTACAAATCTGTCAGTGGAGTGGGAACCAGGAGCGGCCACTAAATTCATATTTCCACCCTCTGCAGGTGCTGAGTGAGTCCCTGGATACCAAGTGCAAATGCCACGGTGTTTCAGGCTCCTGTTCGGTGAAGACGTGTTGGAAGGCACTGCTGAGTCTGGGTGAAATTGCCTCCGAGCTCAAATCCAAGTACCTGGCAGCCATCAGGGTGAGCCACCGCCTCGTGGGGCACAGGAAGCAGCTGAAGCCCACAGAAACAGACATCAGGGTGATGAGAGACACGGACCTGGTTTATCTGATCAACTCCCCCGACTACTGCACGCCCAATGTCCACCTGGGGTCTGTGGGGACACAGGATAGGTAAGGACCAGCTGCAAATATGCTCTAAGAGCCGCCCAGGTGGGCACCAGCACTGTGGGTGGGAGGCACGCTGCTTCGCTCTGACCTGTGCATCCCCCCTTGGCAGGCAGTGCAACAAGACATCTGCAGGCAGTGATGGCTGCAACCTGCTGTGCTGTGGCCGTGGCTACAACGCTTACATGGAGGAGGTGGTGGAGAGGTGTCACTGCAAGTACCGCTGGTGCTGCTACGTGGTGTGCAAGAGATGCCGGCGGCTGGTGGAGAGGTACGTCTGTAAATAGTGTGGGGCATCACAGCAGGCAGCAGGACTTGTGTTGAGTCTTCCAGTGTGCAGCCGCAGAACGGGCACCATCTGCAAACAGTGCTCTGAAGGGGATTATGCTGTAAGCCTGGACTCTGGAACTACAACAGAGGACCTCAAACTGGGTGATGATGGGAAGCCTCAAACTAGAGGACGACCTCTGTCCTGTCTCACCAGAGTGAGACAAAGGGCTGCCCTCCCGCAGTGGATCAGCATCTGGCCCTCTGTCTCCAGCTGGGGACAACCATTTATCACCCGGCCCTGTTCTCCAGGGGTGAACGAGGACTCTGCACTGCCATTGTCCTTTTGCAGGAGGCTTTTGACAGTGGCCTGAAAGCCAGGAGTGATGGATGAGAAGATGGGTAAAGAGTTCTACGGGGGGAAGGCTGCAGGAAAGAAAACTGCTGAGGTTGAGGGGGTCCTGGTAGACCCTCTGGAGCCAGATTTCTGCTGTGGGTTCACCCAACACCACTGAATGTTCCTCCTCACGGGCAAATGCTTCCAGAGCTCTTTGCAGCATCTGTAATAAAGAGCAAAGGCAGAGTCAGTTATGGCTCCAGGAAACAGAACTCATCTCTTTCCTCCACGACCCGCATGGAGGTGGCTGCAGGTCTCACAGTTAGAAGACTTCAGCTGTGGCTGATGGAAGTTGCTCCTTCCACCCCCTGACCCCAGGTGTGCTGGCACTGGCCTGGGGGGAGGACAGGATTCCAGAGTCCTGAAGAAATAAGCATGACTCTTTAGACTCAATGTAAGTGGGATTCCGGTGTGTATTGCTTAAATAAATGTACCATACCATGCCTCTGTGACAGACCTGCGTGTCACCTCCTCCCAAAGCCACCTTGGCATTCAGCTGGCCCCAGAGAGAACAAGGCTGGAAGGAAAGTGTGAAGCACAGTGCATAAGGTTCTGGTAGCTGGAAACAGAGGCAGCTGGGGCTCATTTTCTGATCTGTGTGTATTGGGTTGGAACACAGTGTGTATCATAGATAGGGTCCTGATTCAGCTCATCCTTCCCTCAGTTGCCATGACTGCTTTTAGCAGGAGAGTTGGAGAAGCACTTGCATAGAATGAGATTCCAGTTTGCGCAGCCTTTGGAGAGAAGGGATGAACTTAAATGTGTGTGTGCCGAGGAGAACCCACAGCACGAGGAGTGCAGGTAGATGTGCCCGAGATCCCAGGATGGCTTCCTGCAGCTCCACCACAACCTAGAGGCTCTGGCAGCCTTGCGTGCGCCTTGTGTAATTTGTGGTTTGCACTGAACGGAGCTGGTTGTGCTCAGCCCTGAGTCCAGCTGTAAGATTACTCATTTCCATATTCATTCAATCATTTTTAACAGCCTCAGCTGGGTCACAGAATCAATTCACAAGCTTTTGTTGTAAACTATCCCCTCCATTTAATGTGCTCCAGGTTTCTCTATTAACAATGAGTAAGAGCTGAGAGTCCAAGGTGGCTCAAAACAAGGCTGGGAGCTGGAAGCCCAAATCCTCAGGGGTGAAGCACATGCTCACATGGCTAACCAAGTGAGTTAACCATCATTATCAGTTGTTAATGCAGCATTGACTCGGTCTGGCTGCTGACATACAGCTTTCCCAGAGCTACAGGAAGGCCACAGCTGGGAGGCTTCCGCTGCAGCTGCGAGGGCAGAGGAGCTATCTCCAGTTTGTCTTTTAAAATGCAATTAGGAGTTAGTCACCAGCATTCCTCAGAAAGGGAGGCTTCAGCTGCAACCCAGGGCCAGGCCGAGTACGGAGGTGATGCAGGTACTTAATTAGGAGGACTGCTTAAATACCTTCCCCATAACCACACCCACACTGCAAGATCACAGGGAGGTGAAACTGGGAGGGGCTGTGAACTCCTCAGAGCATTGCAAAACGAGCCGGGCAGAAGAAAAGAGGGGAAGGATACTGAGAAGGGAGAGATTCCACCAGGAGGGTGGGAAATGTGATTTGCATTTGGTAACTGCAAACACACATTGCCTGGGGTGGAGGAGAGGAGCCACAATAGCTAGGAGCGCCCTGGGGAGATGTCCTGATTCCCCTCCTAGAGAGGTCCTGTTTGAATTTCCGCCTGGGAAAAGGCAGGGTGAAGGGTGGAATATGCAGAGCCCTCTCCTCCTCTTGCTGCTTGCATTCTCGCTGCAGGCCCAGCAGGGAAGGGCTGGAGGGGCGGTCAGCAGTGGGATGCTGGGCTCCATCTGTCTCCTGCAGGAGATGGGGAAGTGCTGTAATTAGCTGAAGGGTGCAAAGGGGTCAGGCTGGCAGGAGGGGCTGCGGTGGGGTGGTGGCAGTTCACTGACAATGTTTAGAATGGGAAGTGCTGCAGTCTGAGTTTGCAGCTGGAATTTCCAGTCTTGTGAGATTTGCTAGGCTGGAGGAGGCTCCTCAGGACTGGGAGCCAGAGCAAAATCCAGCAAAGGACCCAGAGGGAATAAACTATCTGCTTGGCTCCAAGGTCTGCTGGGTGTATCTTCTCTCTCTAACCCTGCCAAGGCAGGAAAGCCAGCAGAAAGCTGATAAGGGCACACAGAGCCCTGTTTCCCCAGGCCAGCGCAGGCACCCTCCAAGGTAAAAGATAGGAAACCTTGGTCCCTGACATCACCCTCAGGTGGCTTCCAGCACCCATCAGTGAGATGCTGCCAGAGAAATCGGTGCAGGAGGGCTTTACCTTAGCTGCCTACAATTTCACTGCCATCACAAACTCCTCAAGATGTGGAAGGTGCCACTTCATGACCTGAATTATATGGACAACAGTGGCAGCAGTGTCCCTGATGCTCTGTAAGGATTATGGCTTTGCAGCCCTTCAGACACATCCTGCCTTATTTCTTCTGCCCCATTTTCACAATCAGTCCTCTCCACACTGTGGCAGGCTGCTGTCATTACCCTCTGCTTCACAAACCCTCATTGGGCTCAACGCTAATGTGACAGATCTACCTCTTTGACTCCTCTGTCATTACCCATTTTCCACATGTCTTGTGGCTTTTTGTTTATCTCTGTTTGTCTCTGGAAATGAGACTCCCGGAGCTGAATGGTCATGGCAGAAGCTCTTCACTTTGCAGTGCTGTGAACTGACATGGGAGAGATGGCTCTGAATGTAGCTCGTGCACAGAAGAAAACCATCCCTCTGCATGCAATTTGATGAGAATCAGGCAAAGGGTTTGCTCTGAAAAGCCTCCTCTCTGTTATTGCTTGGCTTTTGTGTTTGAAAAGAGTAAAACAGGTGTGCACACGACTGTTCCCTGCTGGTTAAGGATGCTGCTTAACTAATTCTAGGCAGACAATCCAGGCAAGGGCAACAAGCTTTTGGTAAATAAGTAAAATCTATGGGAAAGAATGGCACTGCCTTCAAGGATGCTTTGGGATATTCCTTCCCTACAGCCCCAGAATGCAACTCTGAGGGGGGAGTGTTTGAAGACCTCCATCTGCACCAGCACAGCTCCTTCCTTCTGCTGGCCCCATGGATGGCTGAGCCAGAACAAGGGGAAGGCAGAACTGAGGTCACTGGGGCTCAGCTGTTGATCAATGCCTGTTCTGTTGTAAGGTTCTGGGGAATGTTACCTTGACCTTTGGTGTTTACAGTATCACACCACCAGATACAAACATGAGCAAAGACTTGTATTTAAGGAAAAACCCTTGCCTCTTTGTTCTCCTTTATTTCTAGGGTGTTCAGCAATGTCATGAAGTCTTGAGGATGACAAGTAACAACAGGGATTGCCCTTGTGGGGATCTTCAACTGAGAGATGTAGGTGAGTAACAGACATAAGACCAGAGGGGGAACTGGTCTGCAGTCTGAGGGCCCTTGAGCATAGCTTAAAGGGCAGCTGCAGCAATGGCTGTGCTGGATTCAGAGAGGAAGGAGACTTCCATCCCTTCCTTGAGGCTCAGCAGGCTGGAAACCCTACCAGCTCTGCACCCCTCAGTTCACCAAGTTGCAGGGTGAAAAAGGCTTCTACAGAGAACAGCACTCCTGCAGTGGAAATGCTAACTTATGGCCTGAAGCACTGATGGAGCACCTGGTGGGAAGGCAGGGTCAACCTAGGGGAGCTCAGGTGCATGCAATGTACTGAGTGACGGAAGGGATGGAGGCAGGATCCACCCCTTTTCAGACCTCATTTAAGGGTTGGCAGTGGAGGTGAGGGCATCTCTTGCTGGAGATCCCTGCCCACCTGAGACCTTCCAAATGTGAGGAGCTCTTTTCCTTCATTTCTGTATCTGGCTGCTGTATTTGGGCTCATTCTCATTTGCTGTAGCCAAAGAGTTTGTCACCCTGCTATTATCATCCCATTACATCATTGTAACTCCGAAGTTAATATCTCTCTTGGTGCTTGCTTGTTGCTCTCCAGAGCAAAACTAACATGTCAGAGAGCTCAGGAGCATGATGCCACCTGCTTCTGTTCTAGCACTCTGTGGCCTTTTCTAACTGTCTTTCTGCCAGTACAGAAAAGATGCCGTGGTTCTCCTTTTGAATGATGAAATTGTACCACCCTCCTTCTGTTTATCTATGGAGAAACTGCCTCTGAAGGCAGTCAGAAAGTGAGATAAGGTGGAATGAGAGCTGCAGAACAGCCTCCTCTACAAAGCAGAAGCAGACACAAGCTCATGAGCTGCCCAGGGTCTCTATGCCATGGGGCTTTTCCAGGCATGCCCTAAGAGTGCAGCCAGACGGATTTTGAGGACTTTCTCAGTTTGCATATGTGTCAGCCTTGACCACTGTGCAGTGGAGCAAGGGATTTCCAGACATGCTTCTCTCTGGCTGGAGCACTAATAGTGTGTAATACTAGTAATGCTGCAGGGGATAGCAGGAGCTCTGACACCTTCCAGGGTGGCTGGATGCATTTGTAATATGCATCCCCCCAAAGTGGGCCCTCCGGCTGTGCGCTGTCAGATGCTCTGCACATGTGCCTTAAATGCAATACACCACAGCAGTTCTAGGTTTGCTACATGTGTAGTGGAAAGCACGAGGGCATGTTTCATGGCTGAGAAACATAAGAGCTGTCCAGAACCTGTGGCTGGGCCCTGGATATTGCCTTCATGCTGACAACCTACTACGCTGAGACACACAGGAGAATGGGAGAGCAAGAAAAATCAATCCTACTTGTCAAAGCTGGGACACTCCTCCTTTTCACACGTAGCAGGACTAATCACAGCCACCATCCCTATAGTCAGGGTCTTGCTGGGTAATTACACCTCCCAGAGAATCATTTATTTTTCCCGAGTGTTAATGAATGCTACCTTTGTAATTGGAAGAGGCAGCTCAAAAGAATGCACGTCCTGCCAGTCTGTAAGAGGACACCATGCACGGGTAGGCGCACCTCATTATATTGAGGCTGGAGAGTAGATAGACCAAGGGCAATTTGGTCACTAGCCCTTAATGACTTCATTCTCTGCGGTGTAAGTGAAGCCTGTTCTTGACCATATGGGACAGCAGACAAAACCAGGGGTAGTTAACTGCTAGCAAGGAGCTTTAGGAGCCTCCAACTAGCAAACAAGTTTGCCCACTTGGCTCTTCCTTCTGCATCTTGGAGGAAACAGGGCTTTATGTAGGTTTCCTGCTCTCTCAGTCCAGCTTGTGTGGTGAGCAGTGATAAAGTGCTGCTCGAGGCCAGTCTTGTGCTGCCACTGATAGTCTGGTCAAAACTGACCCCTCCCTCCTTCCCGATTTTAAAGAGAGGGAAAGCAGGCTGAGGTCCCGTGCTCCATCATCAGCCTCTGCACAGCTATTTGGAGAGCAAGCAGATAGCTCCTCGTGAACCTGTCTGGCTTGTTCTGAAGGCCTCCAAGAAGAATGCCCAAAGGAGATGTTTAATCTTTAACAAACAGAGATATTCTATAAGCAATGTGATCTCTGAACTGCTTCAAGGCTATCTTGATAACACAAAGGTGAAGGCGTTCACTCCAGATTCTCTATTGCTCTGATCCTCAAAATGTTGTTGAAATTTAGAACCTTGGGGAGGGTGACGATATGATAGGTTTACTGTGGATTTTAAGTAATGCGCACAAAGGTGAAAGATGCTGCATCAAGAGCATTGCTGCCTCTCTAATGAAAGTGAACTGGCTGTAATTATTGGGGATTTCACAGTTTCTTCTGCTAGTGAGCAACAAATGGCTGTAGATTCCTGGCCCTGTTCTACTTCCAGTTATTACATTAATTAGGTTTCCCACTGCTGGACATACTGTTTTTTACTTCCTGCCTCGTGTGCAGGATTACCACAGAATGATGTGTTAAGCTGTTGACATAGCTCACACCACTGGTGTCTGTGTTTTCAGTCAAAAAATGGTCACGCAGAGGGAGGATGAGAGAAAAGTACAACCATGGAGATGCACTCAGATATCCTCAGAGATCCTAAACCCACAGCTCTTCAGCTTTTATGATTAACTTTTTATCAAGCTATCTCATGCACGCACGAATAAAGCAAACAGAGCAAATCATAAACTGACTCATCTGTGGAAACTGAGTGCTTCCAGCCTGCCCCGAATTATTGTCACACCATATAAATTTTTCACATCTAGGTCAGTGACTTGTATCATGTTTCTGTGTTTGTAAAAGTCCAGCTTTAACCCTTACCTGTCTTACTCCTGTTTTAATTTCAGGGGTACAGAAGGGACTCAGGAGCCAACCAAAGAAAAGAACGTGTGGAGAAAAATTGGCAGCAGGCGCTGCAGCTGAACAGCAAAACACAGCGCTGTGCTGCGAGTGCCCACGGATGCTGTGTCACATTCCAGACCCAGGCTGCGCAGTGATGGCTGCGTGCAGAACAAGCCCCCTCGACGTCCCCAGGTGCCATCAAGGCTCTTCCAAGAGCAGGACAGGACCACGTGAAGCACCCCCTGTCCCTGGGGCAGGGCGTGCTGACTTTCTGACCACACGCTTCTGCAGCAGCGGTGATTCGGGGGCCCATTGAGGGACCCAGGCAGTGCCTGGTGTGTGGGTGCCACAGCGATGGCTTGGCTCCCTCTGGTGCAGCCACACGAGCAGAACACAGCTGGCGGCACCCAGCCGAGGGAGCTGAGCCCTGCAGGGCCCATGGGGTCCTTGGGCACCGCGTCTCGTTACCCCGATCTTTGATTGGTTTTGGCAGCATTGATGACGGTGACGATTCCCGATTCTGGAATGAGCGCGTCCAGCTCCAGCTTGGCTCTGCGCCGCGCGGGGGAACCCCGGCCTGCTGCTGCGTTTTTTGTTTAATTAACAGAAACCAGTGGAGGTAACAGAAAGACTCGCACCATTGGTGAGAACAGCGAGCAGCCATCTGCAGCAGGGTGGGTATTGGAGCGGTGGCCAAACAGCAGGGAGCTGGCGGGGCTCGGTGGGCCTGGGGTGGATGTGTGTGAGCCCCGTCTGCGTCGCTGCACGGCGCGGAGCTGCGGCTGTGTGGGGGAAACTGGGGCTGAGGGGTGAGCGGATCCAGATGGGTGCATCCCTAACTTTGATCTGCCCTCTGATTTGTTTCCTGATGCAACGTCCTGCTGTTAGTTACACTCAGGGCTCGGTTCGGAGCCATCCTGTGACCGCAGTTCCGTACGAGCGCGCTCACGGCCCGCGACGGCCCGGCCCTCACCAAGATGGCGGCGCCGCTCTCACCAAGATGGCGCCCCGCCCTCACCAAGATGGCGGCGGAAGGGGCGTCGCCGCCGTAACCGGAAGCGGGCGGCAGGCGGTTCCTTCCCGGCCCAGCATGGCGGAGGCGCCGGGCGAAGGCCCGCGGCTGCCGGAGCTGCTGGAGAGGGGCTGGCGGCTGCTGGAGGAGGTGGAGGCCAGCACCGAGCCGTCCTCCGGAGCGCCGTCCGTGCAGGCCAAGGTGCGGCAGGGGCTGGGCGCGCTGCAGCGGGCGGCCGCCATGGTGGAGGAGCTGCAGCTGTTCAGGTGAGGCGGCGGGGCCGCGGGGCCGCAGCGCCGGGCGGGGTGCGAGGCGCGAGGTGCGAGGCCGGTCTGTTCCGTCCGCAGTGAGAACGAGGAGCTGGAGGAGATCGCCTCGGCCGACCTGAAGTACCTGCTGGTGCCCGCGCTGCTGGGCGCGCTGACGCTGCGGCAGGTGGAGCCGAGCCGGCGGCGGGAGCACCTGGAGAGCGGCCGGAGGCACCTGTGCCGCTTCCTGGAGCTGTGCCGCTCCTACGGGCTGAGCGGAGCCCCGCCGCCCCCCGCCGCCCCGCGGGAGGACAGCGAGCCCGGGAGCGCCGCGCCGAGCAGCCTGCTGGGCATGGCCTCCAGCCGGCAGGCCAAGATCGAGAGGTGAGGGCCGCGGGCGGGGCTCTGGGGGCTCAGCCTTCCTGCGTGTGTCTGTGTGCGTGTGTCGGTGTCTGTGTGCGTGTGTCTGTGTGTGTCAGTGCGTGTGTCTGAGCTCCACCACAGCTGGCCCCACCTCAGCTGTGAGCTGAGCCTAAGCCCTGCTGTGAGCAGGTTCGTGCTTGACCTGCTTGGAGGACCAGCCGTTGCAGTTACAGCAGCAGCGACAAAACTTCCCAGAGCTCTGTGTCACCACGCGGAGCTGTCCCGTCCCAGGTGCCGTTGTCATTAGTTGACTACAGGGAGCTCGTCCTGCTGCAGACAAACCAGAGAGGGGCGGATTGCTTTGCCTCCCTGCAGCACAGGGCTGGGCAGGCAGGTGCTCAACTTCTTAAAATGTGTTTTTCAGGGTTTTCTGTAGAGCGTTTTATAGAACAGCTCGTAGGTTCTGTGTCCTTTCAGCTCCCATAGGCTGCTAATCTTTGGTTCTTACTGTTCATTCTGTGGTGATCCTGTATCTGAAGGATTTGCCCAGAGAGGCTGTGGATGCCCTGTCCGTTCCTGGAAGTGTTGAAGGCCAGACTGGATGGGGCCTTGGGCAGCCTGGTTTGATATTGAATGTGGAGGTTGGTGACCCTGCATGTGGCAGGGGGGTTGGAGATTCGTGATCCTTGAGGTCCCTTCCAACCCTGGCCATTCTGTGATTTACCCTGGAAGTACGTTAGATAGGTAGTCCTCCTCCCTGCCCCCTGCTTCTCTTAAACAGACCAAGAAAATCCAGAAAGCCAAAAGCATAGTAGCTCATCTGCAGGCATATAACCATCTGAGACAGAAATTGGAAATGTGCTCAGTTGTCCTTTTAACCTCTGGCAAAGACTAGTAAAAATCCATTGCAGTGCCCAAGTTGGAGTTGAGAGTAGGACAGAATGGGGAAGGTGGGTGGAGAAGATCTGGACGCTGCAGGTATGTATATGGTCATGCATTTTCAAAGCCTTTGTAAGCACAGTGGAACTCTTCTGGTTTCTGTAGTTTTCATTCGTCAAAAACTTGTGTTGTCACTCACACTGAGGTGGAGTTGCATCCTCATGCTTGGTGTTCTGCCTCTTCCTTGTGCTTCTTTAGAGATCATCAGGAAATGACAGCTGGTATGATCTGCTGCTATGTTCCTGAAAGTCATTGCTTTAGCTCTATGGGAATGTTGGTCCCTTGCTATATGAGTGGGTCCTGCTCTCACCAGTACTTTCCTCAGCAATATGAGGCTCTTTATGAATATCTGGGATTTGTTTACCCTTGTGAACAGTGATCAGAAACTGGCACTTCTGTGAAAAGCAATTAACATGGGGCAGGAGATAGCTCTCTAACTAAATTTTATTCATGTTCAAGAAATAGTTTATTTTGGAAGACATGGTGGGCTATGCTAGAGAAAGTTTATTGGAATTAATTATTATTTTCTCTTTGAGCCAGATATAAGCAGAAAAAGGAACTGGAGAACAAGTTGGCCTCTCTGAGAACCTTTGTGGAGAGTGGGCAGGCAGATGAGGAGCAAGTACGGGAGCTGTATCTACTGCAGGTCAAGAAATGGGTCAACATCAGCTTTGAGGAAATTGAGAGCATCGACCAGGAAATGGTCATCTTGAAGAGCAGAGATACGATGAAGCAGGTATGAAGTCTCTCTTGATCTGCAGGTCCTGCAAACTCTGCTGTTAGATCTCATGATAAAAGCTGTTGTGGGTAAATGAACCTTGGAGGAATTCATCAGAGTTTCCTAAATTTTGTTCTTTGGATCCTAGATTAGAGTCTTAGCTCATGCACAACATGAATGGATGGGGCTTGGTTTAATTCTGAATGGCCAGTGGTGATTTTTGCATTAGTGCCTGTCTGGTGCTGCCACGTATCCTAGACAGTCGTGGATTGTTAAATGCTGGAGCACTGAATATCAGAGCATAGCTGGTCTGCACACAGAGGCTTTTTTCCACTTGGCTGGATTGTACCAGACCTTTAGTTCTAAAGAAGTAAATACATTTTTTAATTAAAACAAGACCTTCGTGGCTTTTATTTTTTTCAAGACTGCACTTCTAAGCCTATAGGAAATACTGATGTTAGAGTAAAACACGTCCATTCCATGTGAAGAAAGCTGCTTAGGCACCTGCTAATCATGTGTAGGACAGTTTTTCTAGACTTCATGCTACTCACCTCAAATGTCTGTCTAGAATTTAAAAATCTGAGTGTACCATAGTCCAGCTTTGGCACAGCTGGTTTGTGCAATTCTTTATTGCAGAGCTCTGCTGTTCTGTAGTGCCCTGGGTGATATCTTCATGAATGATGAGCCTGATTAGCTTTATAATGTACTATGTTTGATCCATGGAAAAAATAAGCTGTATTTCATGCTTTGATCTGAGCTGATCTGGTTTAGCTCTGTTGACTTTCTGCTTTGATCAGAATGAGTATAACAAAGGCACAAAGAGAAGTGATTTGTGGAAGCTCACAGATGGAGTTCATGATTTAAACTGGATTAAGGGCTGAATGGTCCGACTTGGGATGTTGCACTGACAGCAGAGGCATTTCTTTTCTACAAGACTCTTAGTAACTTGCTTGGGGTGGGAGGTAAAGAAGGGAACTCTTCTCTGCATGATTGATTTATGACTCTTGTTTGCAATTTCAGTCTTCAGCACCACCACACGGTCCTTCTCGACAAGTCAGGACTCCATTGAAACCTTTCATTCTTACCCGGGATGCAGTTCAGGCTAAGTATGTTGGTTTTTGACTATTTAAACACAGTGTGATGCAGTGTTGTGTTTTCATGGTGAGTCTAAGATACTTTTTTCAAATGCAGAAAAGCAGTCATTGTCTTCAGGCAGCGTTGTCACATCAAGATTGCATGTATTGTACATCTGGGTGAGGGATGGGGAAACTTCTGATACGTTTCTGTTGTCAGCATACTTCAGTGTCTCAGCTATCAGTACAAGTTGGGGTACAGAGTAGTTCCATGCGTTGATATTGGTTCAGTCGTATAGAACATTCCTTGACCATCTCTCTCTTCCTGTAGAGTGTTTGGTGCTGGATATCCTGGCCTGCCAACTATGACTGTAAACGACTGGTATGATCAGAAGAGAAGGGAAGAAGCAGCACGTGGTCAGAGTGCACCTCAGAGGCCACCAAGTAAGGCAGAATAGAGCTAAAATGGGAATAGAGAATTTGGTAACCCTTGTAAGGGGAAGGGCAAATGGGAATGTATTCAGGATGTAAAACACCCTCTAGCTTTCTCCATTAGGTTTGAGAACAAATGGGTTGCTAGGCTGCTCTGTGGCATTTCCTGCTTTCTGTCTGGACCTCACCCTTGTTCTCGGCCTTTAGCAGACACAAATGATGAAGAGTTGCAGAAGGAGCAGCAGGAGAAAATAAAGGAGGAGGATGATGAGGAAGCTCTACAAAAAGCTCGGGACTGGGATGACTGGAAAGATACACACCCCAGAGGCTATGGCAACCGGCAGAACATGGGCTGATGCTTCAGCGGCAGAGAGAGCAGGGCCTGGAAATCCTGTAAGAGTTGCCTATGTCTTGCAGACGTAGGAATAAATACACTGTACATATGCAGAGGTATCCTTGGCTTCTCTGGGAGTCACTGGAATCAGAGGAGTGAATGTGACAGTTTGCTTTGGTTTACATGAAACATCAGGCTGAGAGTGTGCTTGTCCTGTGCATTGACACCGCAGAGCTCCTGACAGTGGGCACTGCGTGATGGGTCAGGCTGCCTCTGCCCTCCCAGTCAGAGGAAGGCCTTGAAAGAAAAGCAGCTGAGTTTGGAAACCACTCTTTGTATTGTTGGTGGATGTATTTATTTTTTCCTCTATATTTTAAACAAAATAAAATCTCTTGTGTTGCCTAGTTCTCCTTGTGAAAATCCCTTGCTTTTCATCCTGGTCTCTTCCAGGGCACGTGTGTCAGCAGGTGGGAAGTGTCAGCTGGACAGTTATTTTGGCCAAGGGTACTGTTGGCCCTTTCCACTGCCTCATCACTCTGTTCCTCCCCAGGTGGGCAGGTCAAAGCAGTACCATATGCAGAGGAGTAATGCATTGATGGTCAGCATGCTCTGAAATATCCTTACAGAAATAACCCTGAAGGATCTGGATTCCTCTAAAGCAAGCTAGTGGGAGCTCTGGCCTTGCCAGCTGTGGGCCAGCAGCTGCCATCAAGGTTGTTCTAAATCTGTTAAAATGCAAAATATGCTACAAATGTCAGGATTAAAAAAAAACAACCAAAAAACCAAAAAACTAAGCACCTTTGCTGCTTGTGTGATAGCACGTTTTCCAGAGCAGTTTCAGTCTTTTATTCGGCCTCAGCAGAGGCTTCATCAGCGGGCTGCTCCCTCACCTTTAGGAACAATGGGATTTTAGAAGAATTCAGCTCTTTTTTCTTCTTATGAGCATGATTCATGCACACCTGAGCAGCCAGCTGGGCTGCACAATTGCTCAGACATAGCAATCTCAGCACCTCTTGGTATGCTGTGGAGCTCTTTTTCCAGGTTTTTTTTTTTTATGATTTACCAGATCAGATTCAGATTGTGGATTTCTGTGGGTTCTGTACCTTCCAAAACTTTTTTTTTTTTGTTGTTTTAACAACGTGCACAATCTTGAATATGAATTAAATCCTCTTCTGTGTTGCTGTCAGCCTGCTGCTCCTGGCAAGTCCTTCTGGAAAGACATGGCTTCACTGGATGAAGTCCTGCAGGTTTTCTGTCCCTTTCACTGCTGGCCTGGAGCCCACTCTTTGGGCTGCTTCCATGCTGCTTTTGTTTCCTCCTTTTTTCATGCATTTGGAAGGCAACCTTTCCCATTTTTATTTTGTGAAGTTACACCCAATCTTTTTGGTCTTCCACACCTGTCCTTTAGCAAGCCAGGATTACATGCCAGCATGAAGGCTGCTTCTGGTGGAAGAAGTCTGGATGCCAGGCACCACCCTGGCCATCCTCCTGGTTTGCTGAGGAGGGAACCACTTGGCTGTGGCAGCTCACCAAGCTGCATCCCACCCCATTGAGCATCAGGGTGACATTTTCAGGCGACTCAAGGGGATCACACCGGCAGAGCAGGACAGCAGGTTGTGAAATACCCACTGCCATTCCTGGGGGGCAACGGCCGCTGGTGCTGACAAGGAGGAGTTGTCACTGTGTGACTTCTCCCAAGGAGCTCCAGCACCCATCCTGGCCCTGCTCCTCTCACGCGTCCCCCTCGCATCGGCTGGGGCGGTCACCGAGGCTGGCTGAGCGATCAATCGCCGCCCAGGATTTCCAAACCTGCCTTTTAACCCGCTGAGCCGGGCTCCAAAGCAGAGCTTCCTGCCACCATGAAAACTATCATTGCAGCCTGTTCCCAAAATCTGAGTGGTAAGGAATATCCAAATGTTTGAATGGTTCCTAACTCTCTGGCGCTGTATGGGCTCGGGCAATTAGTGTTTGCTGTCACTTATTGTCTGTTTGCTTTAAGACTGCTCAGGGGAAAGGGAGGTGTTGGGAACAATTTGGGGTTAGCGGCACCAGAGGAAAACATAAAGTTGCTCAACAGGAATGGGATTTCTTAAGTTAATGCTGACCAGGCATTAGGAAACGCTCCTCCTGTGAGATGCTGCAAAGTGATGCCAGTTCTGCTCTCATCTCTGCGCTGCCCGGAGCTGTGGAGGCTGAGCTCCTCAGGGGAGGCTCCCACCACGACTGGGGAGCAGTGTGGGCACAGCACTGGGCATCGCCCATTGCTCCGCTGATGGTTTTCATTGTGCAGTCTGGAAACCAACAGAGTGCTCCAGGGGCTGTAAAAAGAGCTAAAAAAAGCAACTTTGGGGTAGGCACAGATGGGCTGTGTGTCTTTGCTGGAAAAGTCAGCAGGCATTGGGAAAGCTGAGAGCCACGGGGCTGGAGGATTTCTGGGAATATGGCAGAGCAGGGGGGTGTTTGGAATGGGGACAGCACTGAGGGGGAGAGGGGGCAGAATCCTTCTGCCAGGGTGTCACATCAAGCACTCTGTTTTTCCCTATTGCTCTGTTCTTCCCAATTGTGCTGTTCCTGGTTTGGATTGAGGTGGGAAGAGCTGAGCTCCCCTCCGGGACTGCTGCTGGTCCTCAATGGGCACAGCTCCATCCCCTCTCTCACTGCAGATTTCAGGTTGTTTTTACAGGCCCTGCTGTGTCTCAGACCTTTGGCCGATGGCTCAGGTCCGTTTTGGGGAGGAGGGATGGGGCTACTTGTGGAGTTTGGATCCTGGCACTGTCTGGGGTGGTTAATGGTTCACCAGGTGGAGAGTGGGACCAGACTGTCCCTCAGGGACAGTGGGGGCAGCCACCCCTACTGCTGTCCTTGGCACTGCCGGGGGGGCAGACATCGAGCATCCCCAGCCCATCCAGCTCACGTCCCAGCATCAGCCAAACAGGGCCACTCCTAGCACGGTGGTGGCTCTGTGGATGGGAACGCTGAGCCCACCGTGTCTGTGTCCCCGCAGGCAGCCGTGCCAGCCTCCATGCCGCCCTGCGCACACTGCTGGCCGTGCCATGGCCCTCACAGAGGGATGTCCGTGCCTGGCTGCAGCTCCTTGCCGTGCTCCAGTGGGTGCTCAGCTTCCTGCTGCTGGGTGAGTGGGGCCATGGGGGCTGTAGGGCCGGGCTTGCGCTCACTCACCCACCCCATCCCACAGGCCCCGTCACCCTGGTGCTGCTCCTCTACCTGGTGTTCACCCGCTTCTGGCCCATCTCTGCTCTCTACCTGGCCTGGGTCATCTTTGATTGGGACACACCAGAGAAAGGTATGATGGAATGGGATGGGGCACCCTATGGACGCTCCATTTCTCTGGGTCTGCCCAGGGCAATGCCAAATCTTCCTCCTCCTGCCTACAAATGGCAGCAAAAGGGATGCAGTGCTCTGTCTGCTGGGATGGACTCTCCTGACCCCATTCCTGTCCCACTTGCAGGTGGCAGGAGGCTGCCATGCTTGAGGAGGTGGTCTGTGTGGAGGCATTTTCGGGATTATTTTCCTGTGAAGGTGAGGAGCAGGGTATGGTGTGGGGGTGACAATACAAATAGCTGTGGCACCATCCCAAAGGATGCTGTGCTCTCCAAGCAGTTCCCATGAACCAGATGGGAGCAGTGCTGTTATTCCAGGTGTCCCCAAGCCCTTGCCTGCAGCACACACTGCTACCACAGAGCACTGTCAGTCCCCTCTGTGCCCACAGCCCTCTGTCCCTGCAGTTGGTGAAGACACACGACCTGTCCCCCGGCCACAACTACATCATTGGCTCCCACCCCCACGGCATCCTCTGCGTCGGTGCCTTCTGCAACTTCATCACTGGCTCCACTGGCTTCTCTGAGCTGTTCCCAGGCATCCGGCCCTTCCTCACCACACTGGCTGGCAACTTCCGCCTGCCCCTCTTCAGGGAGTACCTCATGAGTGGGGGTGAGTGGGGTGGGGTCTGGGTGGGGGTCCGGTGCCTGCATCCCTGCTTCCAGCCATGACCTCTGGTCCCCAGCTGTGCCCACTGGCTGTGCTCCCAAGGAGCAGGCAGGGCATGGGCTGAGACTGCCTGCACCTGTGCACACTTTGCCTGCACCCTTTGAGCACCTTGTTTGCATCCTGCACATATCTTTTTTGCAGTGTTTACATCCTCTGCGCATCTCGCTTGCATTCTGATTGCACCTGTGTGCATCCTATGCTTACCTCCTCTTGTGTTGTTTGCACCATCTGCACACCTTGCTTACATCCTGCTCGCATCCTGTGTGTTCCTGATCTGTGCTGTCTGCACCTTATGCACACCCTGTGCACACCTGTGGGCACCTTGTTTGCATGCTCTGCACACCCTGCTTGCACTCATGCCCAGATTTTTGCACTCTTTTGACCCCCTACATGTCTTCCTTGCACCCGTGCACACCCTGCCTGCACCCCACGCCCGCCTTTTCTGCACTATGTGCACTCCTTCTTCACTCTATGTGCACTGTGCTCACATCCCACCTGCAGCCCTGCTGTCCCCTTGTTTTGTCCCCTCCAGACATGATCCCTAGTGGGGTCCTTTTCACAGTTCCCCCCCACCCTACAGACTGTTTCTCTTGCCATAGGCCTGTGCCCAGTGACACGCCGTGCCATCGGCCACCTGCTCTCCAAGAACGGCACCGGCAACGCCGTGGCCATCGTCATTGGTGGAGCAGCTGAGTCCCTCTCCTGCAGCCCCGGCGTCACCACGCTCATCCTGAAGAACCGTAAAGGCTTCGTCCGCATGGCCCTGCAGCACGGGTGAGTGTGGGAGCACTGGGAGGGCACTGGGTGAGGGGCACGGGGGTCCCAGCACACCCCTGAAAATGTGTGTCATCTGCAGCGCCTTCCTCGTGCCCTCCTTCTCCTTTGGAGAGAATGAGCTGTTCCGCCAGGTGGTGTTTGAGGAGGGCAGCTGGATGCGGGCCGTGCAGCAGCGCTTCCAGAAGATGATGGGCTTTGCTCCCTGCGTTTTCTATGGCCGTGGCATCACCTCGGTGCGCTCGCGGGGCTTCCTGCCCTACGCCCGGCCCATCACCACTGTAGGTGAGCGGCTACAAGAGGTCTGTGGGGAGGAGGAGGGTGTCTATTTGATGCCGGGAGGTGGAACTCAGCTCACGTCCCACCAAGCTGAGTGCTGCCCTGCGCCCACAGAGCTGATGGCTTCCCTTCCCGCAGTGGGGGAGCCGGTGACGGTGCCCAAGATCGAGGAGCCGAGCAGCGAGGAGGTGGATCTGTACCATGGCATGTATGTGCGCTCCCTGCTCAAGCTCTTCAATGACAACAAGACCAAGTATGGGCTGTCAGAAGGGGATGAGCTGCGCATCGTGTGAGTGCTGTGGGTGTGGGGACGTGTGGCTGACGAGGCCCTGCCGCTCCCCCTCCTCCTCTTCCTCTCCTGGCACCCAAAGGCTGGTGGATGCCCCAGAGGTACCACCCCAGGATTGCAGTGATGGGCACGGCCCCATACAGTGACCATGAGCGGAGGGAGGGCATGGGGTGTCGTGAGGAAGAGGAGGGAGGTGGTAGGTTTGCATCCCCATGGCCGGGCTGCAGAGGTGTTCCCCCTTGGAGCAAAGGGAGGGACACTCAAGCACAGGGACCAGTGACAGTGGCCTCGATGTGGTTGTTGGGTGATATCTCTCATACAAAATTTCTACCCCCTCATCGTGTCCTGAGTGTGCTTTGGGGTGCTGGATGGATCAGGGCAGAGCATGGGGGTGGGTGGATGGGGTTTGGTGGCGCTGCAAGTAATGGTGACACACTGACGGTGCTCTGGGATCTCCTTCCCCAGGCATGGGCTGGGTGTGCGCTGAGGGGCAGGGACAGCCCCATTTATGGGCTGACGTGGGATGCAGCTGATAAGCATCTCCAGGCTGCTTGTCTTTACGCAGATCCTCAGTTAAACATAACTCTGGGTAAACATTTAGAGAGCAAACACCCATAAAGGCAGATTCTCCTGCAGGCCTTCACCACCCATCTCTTGTCACCCTCCTCATCCCATGGCCCCAAGCTTGCCCCACATTATGCCATGGTATGAAGGGACTACGCTACTGTCCCCTCACCACAGATATGTCCTACCTCTTCCTCCTGACACGGGGGGACCACGTGGAGAAGGGGAAGGTGCTTTATTGGGGTCCATTAGCAGCACAGCCCCTCATCACCTCCCCCAGGACGATGCTTTGGGGGACATCTCTGAAATGTGGCTCCATGCCCATCCCCCAAGTGTCCCCACCCTGAAGACAGTGCAGGGCATTGCAGCAGAAGGCTGAGCCCTGTCGAAGTGAGTGACAAAGTCTCAGGAGAGACCGTGGCCAGAACCATGACCATTCCTGCTGTCCCCACATGTCACCACCTGACACAGGGCTGCTCCTCCACTGTCCCTAATGTCAGTCTGTTTACTGCACTCTATGGTCAAGTACTCTGTGCGTGCCTGGGGAGGGACAAATGACTTGTTTTCTTGGTGACCTGGGATGCACCCCATGGCCACCCTCCCTCAGACCCATGGTCAGTGCTTCAGACAGGTTTGTGGGACCAGGGCTTCTGTGCTGTATCCCACTTCACTTCTCACTGCCCGCCTCTGCTCCACGCTGTCCCCATCCCTCGACTCTCACTGTTGCAGCAACTGCCGACCATGCTGCTGTCCACAGAGGGGGACACGAGGGCCAGCAGGGAAGTGGGCACAGGCCGGGGCCGCTGGGCTGCCCCCCGGCGCAGCCGTCCCCGGTACTTGTCCCCAGCCATGAAGTACAGGATGGGGTCCAGGCAGCTGTTGATGCTGGCCAGGGGTCGTGTGATCTTGTAGGTGAAGTTGATGATGTTGAGGGTCTGACAGTCAGCTTGGAAGTAGCGAGAGGTGTAGTAGAGGGTCCGGGTGATGTGGAAGGGCACGAAGCAAACGGCGAAGACGGTGAGCACGATGATGATCATCTTGATGGAGCGCTTCCTGTAGGAGGGCACGCGGGGGCTTGGGCTGGGGAAGCTGCGCTTACAGAGCCTCTTGGCCATCAGGCAGTAGCACACAACAATCACCAGGAAGGGAATACCGAAGAGGAGGGCCATGACAGAGGAGCTGTAGTGCACGTAATGGTCAAACTCCTCGGGTTTGGTGGTGTCATGGCAAAGGGTGCTGTTGTCCTTGGAGCTGGTGGTGACGAAGATGAGGTTGGGGATGAGGCAGATGGTGACAACCAGCCAGACGCCCACGCAGATGAGTCGTGCGTGTTTGGTCTTCACCCACTTGAGGGAGCGGATGGGGTGGCAGATGCCCATGTAGCGGTGGACGCTGATGCATGTCAGGAAGAGGATGCTGCTGTAGAGGTTGGCGTAGAAGAGGAAGCGCACGATCTTGCAGAACGCTTTCCCGAAGGGCCAGTTGTTGCGGTCAGCATAATAGTAGACCAGGGTTGGGAGGGAGAAGACATAGAGTGTGTCAGAGATAGCCAGGTTGAACATGTAAGTGGTGGTGGCATTCCAAGGCCTCATCCTGGAGACAAAAATCCACATGGCCCAAGAATTGAGGGGCAGACCCACCACGAAGACGATGCCATAGGAGATGGGCAGCAGGATGAACTTGAACTCCTCGTTGAAGACGCACTTCGCCTCTGCAGCAGCGGTTGTATTCCCTCCCAGCCAGGGGGTCGGCGTCGGCGTCCACGGGGCAAGTGAGAACATCCTCACCGGAGCGTCCATGTTCTCCCAGCCAGAGCTGCGGGAGCAGTTAATAAAAACACATTAGCTGTTGATCCCGACCATTGTCAGGCACAAAGCGGGGCAGGCGGCCAAAGATGCCAGATTTTCCCTCCCTCCAGGAGCTCCGGCCACTTTGATGCTTCTCTGTTTTTTCTCAGCTCTTGGGTTTGGGCTTGACACGTCCTCCCCTCCGGAGCCCTCCCAGTGACACCCGCGGATCGTAGCTCGGAGCAGCGCGCCGTGACACCGCGTGGAGCCGGGCAGGGTGCCCAGGGACAGCCAGCAGACCCGCGGCGCGGCGAACAATGAAACCTTGATCAGCAACAGCAGCTCCCGCACGGTGCCAGCGCAGCCTCTTGGAAGCCGGCTCAGCCTAATTGGCACCACCGTGACAATGCCGCCAGTCCCGGAGGGGTCCTCCCCAGAAGAAAGGCAGGAGGAGAAGAAAGGATTGTCTGGAGGGGTACGATGACCCTGAGAAATCCTCGGGGGGCTGTTAGAGGAGCCTTTGGGAGAGCATTCCTGGGAGCGAGTGGCCTCTAGCTGCCGGCTCTCCTCCCCAGGAGAGCAGTGAGTTCAGCTACACAGAGAGGAGCTGTTCCCGTGCCAAACCCCAGCCCGACACAGCGCGAGTTCGAAGCCATCGGGACATTTCCCCCTTTGCGCATTGTTCGGATCAAAGACCGGGATTCTCATCGTCCCAGCAAATTGGTCCCCGGGGGTGAAAAGCGAGGGCAAGCTGTAAAACGGCTGCACTCGCCTTTGGAGATGTCTAAAGTTCAGCGCCCGCTGCTCCAGCAGACACGGGGCAGCCGCCCTGGGCAGGGGTTGGCTGTGCCAAAAGCCTCCCCTGTCAGCACAGGCTGCTGGTGGTGGGAAGGGCTCAGGGAAGGCAGTGCTGATCCACAGGTGGGCACTGTGATGGAGCAGAGCTCAGCTCGGGGAGGGGATTCAGGATGCTGGTTTGGGAGAGGTGAGTAGAAAGCTGTGCCACCCCACGCTCCTGTCCCCCCCATCCCCTTTACTGCTTTCCTTTGCAGGGAGCACAGCTGGCAGGGATCTCCCCAGGGCACATCCGTGGCTCTCTTAAGCCATCATCCCGCAGAGACACCCCACTGTTTGCAGAGATGATCATAAACTAACGAATGGCACCAGGACCAGCCCCCAGCTCCGCACGCAGCCCAGCAATCTGTTTGAGTTCTGGGCTGAGCTCAGCTTTGGGCCCAAACCCAGCACCCCTTCCTGCTGTGAACGGCTTAATGACGGGATGAGTTCAGAGAGCAAGAGGCAGGCCCTGATCAAACATTAACAGCGGGACCTCGCTCTGCTCTCCTTGTAGAGACTGGGAATGCCAATGGGGGCAGCAGGAACCAGGGGGTCCGTTCTTCTCTCCCACCCTCTGAGGATGGCAGAGGGCAGAGCAGCACAGCACAAAGCCCTGTAAGAGTGGCGGTGCTTCAGGTTGCGGCCACCACGGCCAATCTCTGCAAAGCTGCTGACAAACGAGGATGATCTGAATAATCCAATTAAAAAAAAAAAAAAAAAAGACATTTGATGTAAGAAACGCACGAAGAAAATGTGGTGCCGGGTGGCTCAGTGCAGAGGGCAGGTGATAAGACAGGTGAAGCCTGAGGCCAGCTGCAAGCAGGCTGCAAGTAATTTGGCTGCTCCTGAGCAAGCTGCCTTCAGGAAAACCACTGACAAACCAAAATGCAAAAGAAGATGGCATCTGACAGTCTTGATCTCAGCAGTCGAGGTTTCCTACTTCCTCATCTTAGTCATGATCAAAGGCAGCGGTTTAAAGGGCTCTGATTTACGCCCATCCACCCTGAGGACACGTCACTGCTGTTCGTGTTCCTCGAGCACGGCCCCAGTGAGGCTCTTCCAGCCATTGCTTTCTCTGTGCTCTTTTCTGGATGGACCCCCTGCAGCAGTGAGGCTCTGAGCCCAGCTGGGAGCTGGCAGGGGATGATGCAGGGCCAGGGAAGTGATGCTCAGTTCTGCCCTGCCCCTTTTGTGGTTGCGCAGGGCTGTGGTAGGGGGATGAAGCTTTTTCCTCTTGCTGAGGGTGCAGCTGGTGGCACACAGGGATGATGGCCAGAGACAGAAGGGGGCTGGGGACAACCTCAGGGCATGTATCTGGACCATGTGCTGCCCTTTGGAGATGGGGCACAGAATAGACTGCAGAGGGGAGCTTGGGTGGGTGAGCCAAAGGGGCTCGGGGAAAACACAGGGCTTTTCTTCTCTCTTAAGCCCTCGGAAATTGCAAAACAAGGGGAAATTGTGCAAAACATCCTGCAGAAGGACCCTTGTCCCTAATCACCACGCGGTGAGCCCAGCCAAAGCCCTGGCACCAGGGGAGCGTGACCTGATTTCTCTGAGCTCCCTTTTGCTTGCCTGAGCTCCGTCCTCCCTGGGGCTGGTAGTGGTGCTGGGGCTGTGCATTACCCCACTGCTGCCTGCCCAGGTGCCCACAGGTGTCAGCAGGATGAAGGTGACAGCCTTTTCATCCTCAAGTGGGCTGTTCCAGCCCTTCCACCTCGCCAGGTTTGCAGCACTGAGCAGAGCTGCAGCAGCCCCAGGGCCAGCTTTGTCTTCAAAGGAGATGGCATTTGGGGGCTGAAGAGGAAGATGAAAGAGAGGAGGTGGCTGCCCCATGACATACAAAGGTTTTTGGTGATAGAGGATCACAGTGGTGTGATTGGAAGGAGAGATTTAGGGATGGGCTGATCCCACCCTCCTCCCCCCCCAGCCCTACACCCCCTGGATGTCACTGCCATTCTTCTCAGGGCCAAAGCTGCATCTCCAGCAGCCTGGCTAGGTCTGTATAGCCATGGTACCATCACAGTGGGACCATCCCAGCTGCTGCCCTCCCCAAGACCCCCCACCTCACCTCCACTCCAGGGATGGGGTGACTCTCATCTGCGGGGCACCCCCAGGAAACACCTGTCCCCCACAGGGCCCCGGGCCATGCTGCTGTGCGGGCCGGCCCGTGTCGTGCCTGCTCGTGCTCTCCCACGCTGGGAGCAAAGTGCCCGGGAGAGGCAGGGCTGGAGGTGGGCGGAGGCGGGGGCAGGAACCGGCGGTTCGCTACCCGCCGTGCCAGCGTCCCTGCCTGCCCCGCGGGCTGCTGCGGGGCTCAGCGCTGCTGCGCTCCCGTCCTGTCCCGCCCTGCGCCCGTGCAGCTTTCGGACTGGATGCAGCCCCCAAGATGTGAGATGTGTGCGTTTCCCTCTCGGTTACCGGGGACCTCAGCCCCACACCTACGGCGGCTGCGGTCTGCCACTCACGGGCACCGCGTCCCATTTATCCGTGGGTGCCGCATGCTCTCACCCACGGGATCACGGCGCCTTGAAGATGGGAACCAGCCGCGGCCCTTCTTCTCCCTTGGGGACCACGCGCCCTCAACCCTGGAGACTCCGTCCTCTCTCCGTCGGGGACAGGATGGTACCGCAGCCCTGCCAGGCTCTCCTGGGGAGAAAGGCGGCCACTGCCACCTTGAGGCCGGCCCGGGCATCGTGTCCCCAAAGCGGGCAGCAGCAGCAGCAGCCTGCGGTTCGGGAGCACGCAGATGCGTGCCGGGGCTCCCCGTGGCTTGGCAGAGCAGACGTGTGTCCTCAGCGTGTGTACGTGCACACTTCAGCGTCCTCCAAACCCTGAGACTTTATTCTGGGTGATAACAGCGCGGTGCACCCCATAGGACGCAGCCTCAGGAGCAGCTGCTGCAGCTTTCCTTGGGGAACTCGGCCCCAGCTAGGGTGTGCAGGGCCTCAAGGTCCAAACATCCAGTGGTTCCTTGTCCTGAGGGGCCTCAATATGTCCTCCTCCCCCCCCCCCTCTCCCCTGCTGGTAGGGCTCAGCATGGTCTTGGATTTCTTTGGGGAGGGCGATGGCGATGTACAGTGACACCCCGAGAGCATCCATCTGACGTCCATAGGAACCTCCTGAGACTCCCCAGCAGAGGCACAGCAGTCACTTACTGCTTGGCCAGGTCCACATCTGGGTGCTGGCCATGGTCAGGTGAGATGCCAACAGTGCTGGCAAGGGAAAACTATGGCACATCTCCAGTCCCACATGCCCAGGTTTAGGTGTTGGGTTTGGGGTGGGCTCCCCAAGGGGCTCCCATGCACTTTTCCATGGTGCAGAGATGTGTGCAGGGCTGAGCACACAGAGAGTGGACCCTTTTCCCACTTAAGTGAGGACCCTCTGAGTGTCCATGAAGATCTGGGGACACACAGTGGGTCTGTCTCCCCAGCCTCCTGCACCCTTCCTGGAGGGGGTTCACCTCTCATCCTCCTCCAGGCGCAGGGCTCTACTGGGGACCCTGGGGACAGCAGTGCTGCCCTGCTCCGTGCCTGCTGCTGCCAGCTCCAGGGCTGGGGGGTACCTGAAGACCTCAGTGCTGTCCCAGCCATGTGCACACAGTCCCTCCTCACGCTGCTGCGCTCCAATGTGGTCTGGCCCAGCGCTAGTGCTGCAGGACCTGTCACAGCACCACTGGGGAAAGAAAAACAAAGGAAGGTTTCAGCCCTGTCACAGCAGAAATGCCCACCTTTGTGTCCCCACAATGCATGAACTGTGCACCCCAGCACTGCCACCCCTCCAGCCGTCCATTTCCCATTGGTGGCTCTACAAAGGGACAGCACCCTGCTTCTGGGGATGGCTCCTTAGCCAGAAGCACATCCCATGGTTGTACCTCTCTGTGGTGGCCATCCTGGTAAGAGCTCACCCCATGCCCTGGCACCCGTTGGCAGCGTGGTGGGGGTGGCTGAGGGGCACTGTGGCTCTGGTGCAGCAGCATTTGGTGGCCATCCCTTTCACCCCTGGGGGCCATGTGGTCCAGCTGGCTCAGGTAGGTGGCCATGTGCAGCGCTGTCAGAGAGCAATCGCCCCTCTCTGGCACATCCCTCACCAGGATGGCCGATTTGGGGCGCTTCTGCCTGCCCACACCAGGAGGGCTCAGCAGGGACCTGCAGGGTGAGGGCAAAGGGGTCCGTGTCTGGGGGGGATGCCGCATGGGGCTGTCCTCCTGTGTGTCAGCACCCAATGCCCACGTGGCAGGCAGTCCCTCAAAGATGAAGTAGGCTGGGTTGGTGTAGCTGCTGGTCGCCTCTGGGAGGCTGCGGGGTCGGCTCCTGCAGGGCACAGCAACACCAGGCTCAGCGACACCTGGGGATGGGGCACGAGGATGGACCCCAGCCTGAAGGGGTACCTGAGGAGCGGCTTGGGGCACAGCGGGGAGTCTTCTGCTGGAGCACCCTCCTCCTCCTCAAAGCTGATCCACTCTGCAGAGCACAGAAGTGTCACTTCTCCCCACATGGGCACATGGCAGCAGTGGGGTGGCACGGTGGCACCTTACCATAGAGCCTCTCGCGGGTGCTGCGCCTGTCCTTGGGGACGCAGACCTTCATCCAGCCCCGCATGGAGCCCGTCTCCTCGCCGTGGTGGAAGAGGAAGGTCTCAAACTGCTGGGCCATGCTGCCGATCATCGATCGCATCGCGATGCAGCACTCGCCTGCACACGAAGCACAGTGAGCCCCACACCCAGCAGCACCCTGCCCGTGTCCCCATCCCGTGCGCACCGTACGACTCGCAGCTCTCCACGCCCTTGATGCTGAGGAGCAGGTGCTGGTCACCCAGGTACTCCAGGTCGGGCAGGATGGGGTTCAGCTGCATGAAGTGAGAGGGGCAGGGTGGTAAGGAGTGCCTCTGTCCTCAGGGAGTGATCACACCATGCAGGGTTGGAGGGATGGGAACAAGGAGGTGGGAGGATGCTGAGCCCTCCCCGCCGTGCGTACCACGGGCAGCTGCTTTGCTGACCAGCACATCCTGAGGAAGCCAGGGATGTCGCAGCTCTGCGAGGTGTTCTCCCCACTGCGCTGTGCCTCTGCCAGGGGAGAGCCATGGGGACAGCTCCAGCCCCACGCCGGGCACCGACCCCCCCTGCCCAGCACTGCAGCCGCAGGGCACCTCACCCTCCAGGCAGTAGGAGTGGAACTCGATGTAGCACTTGCTGCGGCTGGCAGTTTTGACGATCACCTCGATGCTGTCCCACTCGATGTAGGCCAGGGGCTCAGGGCCAGTGCCAGGAGCTGCAGGACATGGGGGTTCTCAATGGGGGCCGTGTCCCAGTGGGGGACAGACCCCGTCCCCTTGTCCTTACCCTTCTTAGGCACAAACTGCGACGTCACACCCACCTCAAAGGTGGCAAAGACGGGCGAGTGGTCACTGGTGACGATGTCATCAGTGCAGCCTGGCATGGGGAGAGGCAGCTGGTGGGCTGCCAGAGCCGTGGGACTGCACTGGGCTCAGCCCCATCCCTAGGTGCCACTCACCATAGGAGCTGCAGACCAGGTGGGTCTCTGGGAGAGACTTCCAGAGGATGCGGTCACACCACGAGGGGACATTGATCCTCATCTAGGAAGGAGAAAAGCAACCACTATAGGTGTCCTCTTAGGATCAGAATGCTTTCTCCCAGCCCTGCTTCTTCCTCACCACCAAGAGAATGTAAAGAGTGGCCCTAAAGCTTCACCTTCCCCCAGGGGAAGGCTGAGCACCCCATCTAGCACCGTCTGTCCCACTGTCCCCATCCCCCATCTGTGTCCACATCCCATTGATGTAGGAACTCACCCCTGTGGTCTTGAACTTCTGCCACATGTAGTTGTCCCGGGAGCCCCGCTCGTACCGGTAGGTGGGTGGGAAGGAGATGTCACCCTCACCTGGGAACCAAGACACACGGGTGACATGAGGCCAGCATCTCCAACTATCCCGAGGTGCAAACTGCTCCTATGGAGTCAGGCCCTGAGTTTCCCCATGCCCACATGCTCCCAGCTGTGGGGGCACTGCCCAGGAGGGGTTCATGATGCACATGACTTTTCCCAGGTTTTTAGCACCTCGCACAGAGCCGTGCAGAGAGACAGTGCTGGAGGTGGCACTGGCAGAGAGCTGGAAGTGCCTGGGTACCACTGGGAAGGCAGCAAGCAGCCAAGCAGCCCCACACTCACGGAACTGCAGGAACACCTTATTCTTCTCCCGCTCCAGGTTGAGTTGGTCCATGGCTAGGAGGATGTCAAACTCCTTCTTAGTGACATGGGTCAGGACGTCCTGAGCAGGCATAGGAGGAGCAGTGAGCACCAGTGCTGGCACCCTGAGCCCAGCTCCCCACGGACACACACCTGCACATCCATGTCCAGGCGGTAGTTGAGGTCCCCGAACCAGAAGAGGTGGGTGAAGCGCAGCGTGAGGTCGAAGGCGCTGAGCCGTTTGTCGCCCAGTGCCAGCGAGCGCAGGATGTCACTGTAGTTCTGATTCCGCCTGTGCCATGCGGAAGGGATGGCAGCCACATGTCAACCACTGTGGGGTATTGTGGGGCCACCCCTTGCACCTGAGGCAGGAGGAGGACGGGGTAACCCCACACCAGTCCACCCCACGGTGTCCCCATCACCTGTGGGTCTTCTCGCTGCCCGAGGCCAAATGGCAGTTGACAAAACCAAAGGAAGTCCCATTGAAAAGAAAGGAGACACCCACAGCCCCCTTGTTCCCTGTGGGGACAGTGAGCTCAGGGGGCATGGAGGTGCCGTGGGGCAGCCCCCCCAGCTCAGTATCCCCACCTCTTCCCTACCCAGAGTGTTGGCAATCCCTGTTTTGACGCTGGAGGTGTGGACATGGCTGATGCGCCGCTCGTGCTCTGGCTTCACCAACACCACCATCTTGATGCTCCAGAGGCACTGCAGGGCCACCTGCGGGACGAGGCAGTCAGCCCGCCCACCTCCCACACTGCAGGAAGACAAAGCATCTCCAGAAGTTGGTCATTACCACTCGGTAGTCGATGGCCATCAGCGTCTTCAGGGACGCACGCAGGAACTCGACCCACTCGCGGTCACCCAGGGAGTTCTCCTGTGTGCCTATGACGTAGATGTCGTGTGGGATGCAGGCAGTGGTCTCGTCCTGTGTGTGTCCCAGGCCCCTCGAGGTCAGCCAGGAGGCGAGGGAGCGGGGTGGTGGTGTGCTGCCTGGGGATGGGGACAGCGAGTGACTGCTTCGCACCCTCCTGCACCCCAGTACCTACTGGGGATGGGAAGCATCACACCAGCACCGTTGTCCACCCATGCACATCTCAGACCTGCAAAGCCCTCCAGGTATTCGTGTCTCCAATAGCAACCAGGCAAGCAAATTCCAAACCCCAAATGGCCATGATGGGGTCTTCTACAGCCTCTCCCTCCCACTGAGGGAGGACCAGTTCACACCTCGCCTGCTCCCTGCAGACCCTTCCCAACCGTTCCAGGTTTGCAGTGGGCTGTGAAGATCCCCCAAGATGACATGACCTCAGCCAGGTCACTTACCCATGTTCCACGTCCCAACATAAACTGAGATGAGGTCAGGTTCATCCAGGTTGGAGTGTTGGATCTTCATCAGCTGCAGCAGCTGGCAGAAGGCTTCTCGCTTCTGGGGGCAATAAAGGGGTCTCAGGGCATACAGGGCTCAGGGGCTGGACCCAGGTGTAGGGGAGCACAGAAGCCTCAAAGGCAGACAGGGTCAGTGAGACAACAGCACTCAGGTGCCAGAGTTGACAGAGGGCTGGCCTTGACCTCAAGAGCACCTATTCCCTGCATGGCTAAATAATGGCTCTATGTTTCCAAAACAGCCTCTCTGGGGAGGTGGGGGGAGAGAGGCTGGTGGGCATCCCCCCACAAAGCCACCCGCATTGCTCACCTTTGCACTGGGAAAGATGAAGTCCTTGCTCAGGCTCCTCTGCAGGTCACGATTGTACACCAGCCTCACCTTGCTCTGCACGCTCTGGTACTTGATCAGCTGCAGGACTGAATGTGGGGCATGAGGGGTACAGGGGGACCTCCTGTCCGACAGCACATGGCATGGGACAGAGCTCGGTATGCAGCCCATCCCACGGAGCCAGGCCCAGCCCAGCAAATGCCTCGTGCAGAGAACTGGGGGGCAGCATCCCCTTACTTTTGTCCTGCGGGATGATCTCCTCTGGGGACCCACTGCCCCTCTTAGTGATGCGCACTGCGCCCTCCTCCACATCCACTGCCAGGGCTGCGCGCTGCGACTTGCCCACCTTCACCTGCAGCATGGACAGGGGGGGTTCCTGGGTCAGCCCCCACCCACGGGTGACAAAGACACCAGGGCCATATTGTGTCCCCTATCCTCACCTCGAAGCACTGCGTGGCCATGGGCTTGGTGACTAGAGGCAGGGCTGCAGGGCTGGGCAGTGCCAGGTTGTGCCGTGACACCGTGTCCTGCAGTGACATCAGCACCTGCCAGCAGGAGGAGTGAAAGATGGGGACATGGTGGGTGACAGCCTGGGGGTGGCTGAGGTGCCCAGACTTGGGAGATGCTGTCACTGGGAGTATGGGGTAAGAGGCCCTAAGTACGGGGAAAGGTGCATGGCTGTGCAGCTGAGCAGCAATTTGCTGGAGGGATTAATTAGCTGAGGAGTTGGCCAAGCACAGCAAGGAGCTGGCAGCATGTGGGCACCTTCTTCTCCAGTGATGAGAGCAGGTGGTTGACAGCTGAGATCTTGCTGAGGAGCAGCTCCAGGTCAGGATTGCCAGCCAGGAAACCCTGGAGAGGAGGACTGGTGCTGGGGTTGTGTTCAGGATGTGCCCAAGGCTGGCAGGGACCTGCAGCCCCCTCCTGCACTGGGAGCACATAACTCCTTGTCCCCAGCAGGGACCTCATCCCCTCCTTTGTGCTCAGAGAGCATCACAGGGCACGCAGCACCCTCAGGCACCAAAACAACCCACATCCCCTGAAGTGGGATGAGCCTGCAGGGCTCACCTGCTCTCTGGCCGGGCTGCGTGGGGACACAGGGGGCTCAAACACTCTGGCCAGGGTCTCCAGCCCCGCCAGCGTGAAGTCGATCTCACTGCAGAGAGACAGAGGAGCACGAGAGCTGGAGATGGACAGGGACAAGCAGGCGGCTCCTCAGCCCTGCCCTCCTCCTGCCATCCCTGTGCCACTCACCTGTGCAGCTCCCGGCAGGCGGTGACGAGAGCAGCACTGAGATGACGCAGCTGTGGGTGCCCACTGCGCAGTGCAGCCAGGTCCAGCGGTAGGTGCTGTGTCAGGTAGTCAGCCATGAAGCCCATGAAGTCACTGGATGGGCTGTAAGGGGGAGCAGTGGCTGGGAGCGGAGGTACCCAGGCTCGGAGAGGTGCCAGCCTCAGCTCAGGATTTGCAAACCACAGGGAAAGGCATCTTGTGCCCCGCTCCAGCTCCAGCATGAGCAGGGCTGGATGTGGGCAGCACCCTTAAGAGCATCCTCTTGGTCTCGTGTTTTTGGGACGTGCCACTTCCATCCTGCTGTGCTGTGCCCACCCCAGTGCCCCCGAGGAGCGCATTACCTGCTGTGGATCTGCTCCTGAAGCCTCAGCTGCAGCTGCTGTGAGATGTGGGGACGTGTGGGGGGAGCACCAGGCCCTGTGCTCTCCCCATTAACCCTGGTGGGCACCATGCTGCCAACATGGCCACCTCTTCCATCTTCCCCATCTGCAGGCACAGATCCCAGCTCAGCACCATCGCCTCTCTGCCAGCAGCCCCAACCCTTTGCCCCCATGCCCTCACCAGAGTCCTCATCAGCTGCTTCCCGGAGCTGATGCACAGGGTAGAGCAGTGGTGTCACCAACCCATTGTTGGGCTGCTGGTAGGCGCTGATCAGCTCAGGGAGGCTGCGGAAGTGCTTGGCCTGGATACCCTTTATGGTCTGGGGGGGCAGAGGGGATGGTGGCCACCATGTACCGCATCCACAAGCCAGATGCCTCCAGCCAGGTTCATAGCTAGGGTGGGCAATGGGGGATGCGCTGCACGCTTCTCACAGCAGGGATAGTGACAGAGAGGAGACAACATTTTCACAAAGCCTCCCCCAGGTGCAGCAGCAGTGGGTGGCCGTGGGGCTACCCAAGTGGCATCGTTCCCAGGCGGCTGCGCTGCAGAAAGGGTTGGTGCAAAGCTCGCACATCCTGTGCTGCTGCACTCATGCAAAAAGCAAACCACACCGCTCACCACGTGCGGGAAGCTGCAGGCTGCACCTTGCTGTGTGCAGTGCAGAAGTTGGAGGTGGGAGTGAATGCCCCCTTCCCTGTGCACTGCTTCCTGCACTCACCTGGACGGAAAGCAGCCCCTCATCGTCAGGCAGGATGCGGTAGGTGTGGACGTGCCGCTGGAACCTACAGGAGAGCGGAGCATCTGCACCCTGTGCACTTTGCAGGTAGAGGAACTGAGCTCCTGCTTCAGGTAATGAAGCTGTCACCTTGTGCCTGCCTCAGGGTGCCCCGTGTGCCATGCTCCCCAGCACCATGTGTTTGCCATTTGCATCATGCACCTGGCCAGGAAAGCCACAGGGAACTGGGGGGCATCCTTCCAAACCCGCAGAAGCATTGTCTGTGCATCTCCAACACATCTGTGCAGTATGTCCCTCAGTTGTAGTGGGGGTCCACCTCAGCCAGCCCCAACCCTGTGCCTCTGCCAGCAGCAGTGATTTAGGTGCTAGGGCTGCTCAAACTGGCAGCTGAGAAGTTAATAGCAGGCACTGTGGTCCGGATGCTGGCGCGCCAGAGGCTGGACGCAGAGGGGATGTTTGTATTCACACAGAGAGCTGTGCTGGCCGCTTCCTCCACCCCACGCAAGGGCCAAGCAAGCACACAGATGCACCTGAATGTGGGCAGCCCCATAGGGCACAGCATGCTGCCCCATGGATGTGGGGTGGAAGCTGTGCACGGCCCCCCCACCCCAGACTGGCATCACCAAAAAAGCCCCATCACTGAGAGCTGAGCAAAGCAGAAGTGGTGGCTGCACCCTGCACACATCCTTTTTGCTGCTGAATGATTTGCAGCCCCAACCCTGCCTTGCTGTCGCTCTGCTCCATCCCCCCACCCTGCTGCAGGGACTGGGGACAAGAAAGAAGCCAAGAGCAGAAACGAGGCAGAACTCACAGGAGGCACAGGGCGTACGCCCCTGCGATGGACTCACTGTCCCGCACCAGGAAGCAGCCGTCCCGCCCAGCCTTGGCCAGCAGCTCCTCGGCCACCACCCTGCTGATGTCCCGGTGGTACCAGCTTGCTCCTGGCATCCTCGTGGGTGACACAATGTCAGCTGCACTGCGTTGTGTCTCCCACCCCACATGGGCTGACTGCCGAGGAAGGGGAAGGTGGGGGCCCAGAGGCTGGGGATCCTGATGGGTGATGTGCAGCTCCTGCTCATAGGGTGCCCTGCACTGATCTCCCCAGCTGGGCAGTGCAGTGGGAGTGGGTCTGGGGGGTCTGTGGGGTGAAGCTGGGGGTCCAGATGCTCCTCATCACGGGTGGCTGCAGCCTGCAGAGTGAAGGGGAGCAGAGAGGGGCAGATCAGGGACCCGTGGCAGCACCACCCCACCAGCATCCTGCCCCGCTGCACAACAAGCATGAGGCCACACGGACATCCTGGTGGCACATGGGACCCCGTATGTCACCAGAGGTACTCACCCTCTCTCGCAGACATGGCACTGCACCCCCTGTGCCCCCACCGCCCGTCCCCTGCAGCCAGGCCCACTTCTCGCCGTCCCCGCTCTGCACTGCTGCGCCTGCCCACACTCTTCCTCCTTTACGCTCTGCTCACTCCACATCTGGGACAGCCTCCTCGCTCCTCCTCCCACTCCAGCCCTACTGGCAGGAGGAAGCCGGCAGCCATGCAGGGCCCCGAGCACAGTGGGGGCTGCCCAAGCACCACCACCCCGCTGCCATGCAAGCCCAGAGCCCCACCCCACAGTTGTACCCAGCGGAAGGGATGGAGGGCTGCATGGCATCACTGCGCTGTGCCGGGGCTGGCAGTGATGGGGATGCCTGCACACGGGGATATGGCTGCAGCGTGGGGCTGAGCTTCAGCCATGCAGAGATGGTGATGCTGTGGGCATTGGGTGGGTGAGAAAAGTAGGTACTCAGACAGAATCACAGAATTGCCAGGGTTGGAAGGGACCTCAAGGATCATGAATCTCCAACCCCCCTGCCACATACAGGGCCACCAACCTTCCCACCTAATGCTAGACCAGGCTGCCCAGGGCCCCACTGCTGCATTCACTAATTCTATGCGGGGGTGCCCTAGCTTCAGGGAGAGGGGAAGCGAGGGGCTCAGGGAGGGCATGGGGACCATCACACTGAGGTTTTGCTCCTCGTGGCTTGCAGTAAGCAGACCCCACGTGCCAAGAGCTGCGTGGGGCAGCTGCCAACAAGGCTGCGTTAGGGTGATTAGCACCACGGCACTGTTAATTACAGACAAGCTGCAGCCACCATCTGCTGCAGGAGAGATGGGATGGGGGCTTCACCACCCACGCCAGCCTGGTTCCTCCCTGCTCTTTTTGCACGATTTGCTCCGGGCAGTTTACAACAACAGCACGTGGGCACCCCCTGCAGCAAGCAGCACCAGGCACAAGGACATCCCCACCACCCTCTGCACAAACCTCTCCAAGGCATCCCCTGAGCTCCTGGCACTGACGAAGAACCTGGTCACCTCGAGGGGCCACCACCTGGTTTGGGGCTATCAGCTATGGGCTGGTGGCGTTCCCATCTCTCAGCCCATCCCAAGCACAGCTGCATGGCATGGGGCAGTGACTGGGGATTTCACCACCTGGAGACCCTCTCCCACCAGTCCTGCTTTCAGCTGTTACTTAACCATTCCTGTGGCCATGGGTCTGGCGGCGGGCAGGATTAGTGCTGACCACAGAGCCTAATCCAGCTCAGGGCAGGAAGGCACAACGCTGCCAGGGGCTTTGGGAAATCATTGCTGTCTGTCAGCCCGCCCTGCAGCAGTGCGTGAGTGGAGCAGCACAGTGTGGGGACCTGCAGGTGAGGCTTCATGCCATTTATCCAGCAGGAGCAGGGCAAAGCCCAGCAATCCAAACACAGGGACAGGTGGGCTGCAGACCCTGGTGTCCCATTGCCTGTGCTGCAGCCGCACCGACGCGAGCAGGAACCCAGGTAAGGCTGCAGCCAGACCTCCACCACTGGGAAGGTCACAGTTCACGTGGCCCCTGCCCTTGGCAGAAATAGTGCCTGCTAATCTGCAGCGTAAGCAGCTCTGTGTGTGCAATTAAAGAGATCACAAGTCCTGGACCCGGTCAGCACGTGCTGGCAGCCGCAGCCCCGCACTGCCGTGTGCTCAGTGGGGTGGTTGTGGGGTGTTCCATCCCCACCACCTGTGTGTGTGTCCCCACACTGCGGGACAGCAGCCCCCAATATGGACCCACTTGGTACTTTCACAGTTTTCTTATTTGCAGATGTGCACCCTGAATTAACAACACGTTAACCAGGAAAGGTGAGGCCAGCCTGCAGCGTTATGAAATGACCACAGGACGGAGCCTGGTGATGGAGCAGCCCTCATGAGCGTGTTCACACCATCATCTTGTGAACCACTGTCCCTGGGCCTTCTCTCTTTGGTTTCTATTCTCCCTCCACCATCTGTCTGTGTGCTGAGGGCAGGATGGGGGTCAGGGATGCACACACCGCTCACTGCCCAGGGATTGATTCTGGGTCCTGAGGGGCTCAAGGTCCTTCCCAAGGTGGCACAGCTGTCCCAATACCTATAGCAGGATTTAGGAGGTGCCTGGCCTCATCATGGCAGCCCCACAGGGTGCACAAGGAAGGAACCCAACCAGGAAGCCCCTTCCTTCCCTTCTGCTGTCCCCATCCACCACCATGTGAGGACCTGCACCCTGCCTGCCAGGCGCTTCCACCCCAATTACCATCACTTCACCCCTAAGCTTTACCAATCTCCATAATCTGCTTTCCCAGGGCTCCAGCCACCACCCCATTTATAGCCCACTCTTACTCACAAAGTATCTCCCTGGTTAAGAAACTAATAGGATTCCAGCCCCAAAATACCTCTCCCATAGTGCACGCACACACATGGCACACCCCCAGCCAAAGCCTGGTGGGCGAGATTCGGGGAGGGAGCGGGTGGCTATAAGAGGGCACAGAGCTGGGAGCAGCCGTGCTGAGCAGGTGGCAGCAGGACAAGCAGGAGAGGAAGAGAAGAACGTGCATCCGACCCCAGGTGAGTGCTGCTGTGCTGAACGGGCAAGGATGTCCATGGCAGAGTGGTGGCTGGAAGGAGGGCAGCCTGCAGCTGGGTGGGTTTCATTACGGGTGTAGGCATCCTTAGTGCAGGAGGGCTTGGCCAAGCCAGGAATCCCAGAGCCCATTCTTGGAGCTCTGGCACCCAAAGGAAGACGTCGGCTCTTCTCTTTCTCCTTTCATCCTCCTTTTCCCCATCACACAAATCCTGCTCTCTCAGCGCCTCAACCTGCTGCTCCCAAGGAATCCTGTGGATTAGGATGTCCAAGACCCACAGCCCACCTGAGGCCATTCCAGAGCCCATGTTTGGGACTGACCCTTTGTTTTCCCATGGGGAAGAGCATCATCATCTTCCCTCCACTTCCTCCCTATCGCTTTTTCCCTTCTCTCCACCATCACTGGTTACATAAAGGGGTGATTCTGCCCACGCGCCCCTGGGGCTTAAAATCTTGCCTGGCCTTAAGCCCGGCTAATGTCAGAGCTGCCTAAGTTTAAGAAGCAGAGCTCATCCCTTCTGATCTCCCCACAAATCAGCCAACAATCAGCAAGATATTTTAATGGTTTAATTCTGGACGCTGGTGTTGATCAAGCAAAAAGCAACAGCCCCCCCTCGGTCCTGTTCCACTGCGGCTCTGGGGCTGTCGGTGAGTGTGGGATGGGGCTCTGAATGGCACTGGGGTCCCCCGCCCGTGGTTTCCTCACTCCCCTGTGAGTGAGGACAATGAGTATGCTTCTCCTGGTAGGTGATGGCAGCAAATTTCCAGCAGCTGCAGTCTCCAGCAGCTCCACCACTGGGGTGTACCCCCAACCCCATAAGGTCCTGAGGAAGCATGGCAGCTTGGGATGCAAATAGAGCATCTGAGCCCTGCTGAGCCTCCAGCCGTGCTGCTCACAGTGCCAACCCCCAGGAGGGCCATTGCCAGTGGCTCTGCAGAGCATTGGCACACGAACCATTGAGTCCCCATTGCTGGTGATGGCCAATGGGTCTCCTGTTCCCACCTCCAGCATTTCCCCCATCTCTCCCTGCAGGTTCCTCGCTGTGTAGCACCTGACTTACAATGGCAGAAGGATCAAAGTAAGTGTAAGGCCACATGCTGAGGGTCTGTGCTGTGAGCCCGTAGGACACCGAATCCCAAGGCTGGGACATATCTGCCTGCCTGGGCACAGCTCCTGGGGATGCTCCTCTCTGGGAAGAGAGCAGCGCTGCCCCCAGCCTCACCACTGCTGTGTGCTTTTCCTGCAGGGTATTCAAGAAGACCAGCCCCAACGGGAAGGTGAGTCCATCGGGCACGTGTGGGTCCGTTCCCAGTGCAGATGAACTGGTGGTGCCCGATGATAAGGCTGCAGGGGCCTCATTTGGGGGGACAGAGGACGCAGCCCAGGTTGCCATTCCCTCTGCAACCTCCTGATTCCCCTATGCCTGCTATGGTGCCATCGCTGGGGTCACTTTTCAAAACAAGTGTTTTAAAAAACACACACAATTCCTACAATGCGATGCCTGCTCCTTCACACCAAACACCTGCAGCATCACAAAGCTCAGCACCCACTAACCTGATGTGTTGTTTCCATTTGCCATGGGCTCCTCCAGCTGTCCATCTACCTGGGGAAGAGGGACTTTGTGGACCACGTGGAGTCGGTGGATGCTGTGGGTGAGTGGGGTTCCCAAGGTGCAGAAGGCAGTGAGTGGCCTCAAACGCTGCTCTGTGTGGAGGGAGGAGAGAGGGCAACTCCAGAGGAGCAAACATCTCATTTTCCTACAAATATCTTGGAGCAATACTAATAAAGCAAAATCCCTTTGCAAGTAAGCCCTGGGGGTGGAGATGCTGAAGGAAGGGTCACCATCCCCATGCAGGCAGGTTCCCTGGAGGCAGCTCTCCTGGCTGAGCATTTTGACTTCAGAGTATTCTCACAAGGACCTTCCCTCTCTCCAGCACACCCAGTTCACCACCTCTTCTCTCCTGTTATTTGCAGATGGTGTCTGCCTCATCGACCCGGAGTACCTAAAGGACAGAAAAGGTAAGAAGGCACAAAAGCCCACGTTACACAGGGCAGGGACGCAACCCCTGTGGGTAGCCATGCCTTGAAGAGATCTGATGAATCTCATTAACTTTCTACTTGGCGTCTGAGATCTGCTTTTAATGCCAGTAAGCTATAAACACAGCTTGTCTTTCTTTCCTCCTTTCCCAACCCTTCCCCTGCTCCTTTCCCTCCTCACTGCCCTCCATTCTCACCCCACGCTGGCCCCAGTGTACGTGACACTCACATGCGCCTTCCGCTACGGCCGAGATGACCTGGATGTCATTGGACTGACCTTCAGGAAGGACCTCTACGTCCTGACCACGCAGATCTTCCCACCGGTGCCTGAGCAGGTGCCCAAAACCCTCACCTCTCTGCAGGAGAAGCTTCTGAAGAAGCTCGGCGAGAACGCCTACCCCTTCACCTTTGAGGTAAGGGTTGCTTGGTGCTTCCCAACCACGCATCTCTATGGGGATCACCCTTGGGCACACTCTCTGTCTGCTCTCTGTCTCTGTTCTGCCCAGATTGCCACCAACTTGCCCTGCTCAGTCACTCTCCAGCCGGGACCGGATGATGTGGGAAAGGTCAGGTGCTGTCCCAGCCTGTCCCCCAGGTTGTTTCTCTCTCACGGGGGAGAGGTTGGAAGGGATGGACAGCTGGAAGCAGGGCTGGGATCTGCAGGGATGTGGTGGGGGAAGGAGGGGAACAAATCAGAACCTCGTGCAGCTCAGAGCCTCTTTGTAACCCAACATGTCCTCCCAGGCCTGCGGCGTGGACTTCGAGGTCAAAGGGTTTTGTGCTGAAAACCTGGAGGAGAAGATTCACAAGCGGTATTTGAGGGGAACCCTCATCCTTTTCCTCTGCCCTGAAACTGAACAACTGCACCATTTGGGGGTGATCACCTCCGGAGCTGAGACAAGGCTGCAATGCCTGCTCGTGTCATGCTTGGGCTGGGGACTTTGCCTAAAGGAAGGGTGACAGTCCCTATGCCCGTGTCCACCCCATCCTCAGAGCAGCCTGTAGACTGCACTGTTTGAATGGAGGAATTGAGGTGCTCCCATAGACAAGCCATGTGTGCCCGGGGAGGCCAAGGGGTGACAGCTTCTCGCCCTGCAGGAACTCCGTGCGCCTCGTCATCCGCAAGATCCAGTTTGCACCTTTGAAGACAGGCCCAGGGCCCAAGTCAGAGACCACCCGGCAGTTCATGATGTCTGACAAGCCCCTGCACCTCGAGGCCACCCTGGAAAAGGAGGTCAGTGGGGGGCTGCTCCCAGCTCCAGCTACCATGTGTGCTCCCAGGGATGGGGACCAGGACTTCTTTGTCCCCAACCTCACTTGCCGGCCACGTGACTGAGCTTCTTCTGACTGCAGATCTACTACCATGGAGAACCCATCAACGTGACTGTCAATATCAACAACACTACCAACAAGATCGTGAAAAAAATTAAGATTGCAGGTGAGAGGAGTTGTCCCAGAACCACTGTGTTGGGTTGGAGATGGGGAATGTGGGCCTGGGTCTCTGCCGCCATGCCAATGCTGCTCCCTCCTGTCTGCCTCCAGTTGATCAGATCACAGATGTGGTTCTCTACTCTCTGGACAAATACTCAAAGACTGTGTGCATGGAGGAGATCAAGTGAGTAAAAAAGAGCTGGCAAACAGAGCTGAGGGAGAGGAGGGAGGGAGAGTAAGAGAAGCTGGTGGTGGTAATGGTTTTACACTGAGTAAGATCAAGGTTAGAAGTGCAGATGCGAGGAAGCGGAGGAGAGGGAAGGCTGCAGACACTGAGGGCCCAGCTTGAGCCTGGGGACGTCCCTGGGGAAAGGTGCACAGCTGCCCCTAGGCTGCTTCCTCTCCTCGTTTTGCATCTTGAGCCCAGCCGCAGCCTGACGAGGTCTCTGTGCTCCTGAGAAAGAAGAGTGACAGAGCAAAGGTGGGAAGGCAGAAAAAAAGAAGTGGTTGTGGGAAGGAGCAAAAGGAGGAAATGAGCCCAGGCAGCTGCGCGGGGAGGGGAGGACGGGGCGGGAAGGACGTCACACTGCACGGCGCTGAGCACCGATCGGGGGTGCTGGCTCTGAGCTCTCCTCTCCTGACCCTTCTAGTGAGAATGTGGCAGCCAACTCCACCTTCTCCAAAACATATTCTGTCACCCCCACGCTCTCGGCCAACCGGGAGAAGCGAGGCCTGGCTCTTGATGGCAAACTCAAGCACGAGGACACCAACCTGGCCTCCACCACCATGTAAGAGCCTCTGCATCAGAGCAAATCTCAGCTCAGGCACCTCAAGTGGCCTCCAGAAGCTGTGGCCTCAGCCACTGATCATCCCTTGTGTCTGTCTGCCACACTGCTTTGCACTACAACCTAGTGCACCCCACATCAGTACAATTGCTGTAGGGGTCATGAGGTTGGCTGCGTGTCACAGCTCCGCTCTGCCTCTCTCCTAGCCTGAGACCTGGCATGGACAAGGAGGTGCTGGGGATCCTGGTGTCCTATAAAGTGAAGGTCAACCTGGTGGTGTCCCGAGGAGGGTGAGCTCTGTGGGCATGGTGGCAGGGACCCCCTCTTGGGTCATGCCATGGGGTCTTGTTCCACTGGGCTGGTGACGAGGGGATGGATGCAATGAGAAGGAGCTCATGCTGTGGGCTCCTTTCTCCCTGCCCATTTCCAAGGACTGTGGAGGCAGCTGGGGTCCACATCATCCTCTCCGTCTCCATCACTACTGCCCCTCACCTATTATAAAGCATTTTATTTCAAAGCAAAAAAAACTGAAACCCTTCTCTTCTTCCTTTGCTGATTTCTTTCCTTTCTCTCCATGGCCACAGCATCCTGGGGGATCTCACTTCCAGGTAAGGAGGGAGCTGCCCACAGTGCTCAGTGGCAGCACAGTGCAGAGCCAGAGCCAGCGTTGTGCAGCACTGGGTGGGTTCACTGAGGGAAGTGCTTCTGCTTCCAGTGATGTCGGTGTTGAGCTGCCCGTCATCCTGATGCACCCGAAGCCTGTGGATGGTGAGTAGCACCTGACATGCTGCAGAAACACCAGGGAAGAAAATGTAGTTCCTGTTCATGGGGGAACTGATAGGACTGATGGCTCTGGAAAGTCCCAATGGTTGGATGACGTGCTCCAGAAAATGAGACACATGTGACTCATCAGCCACGTGCTGCTCAGGACCAGACAGCGTGCTGGAGGAGCTCTGCTCCCTGCTGCCACCCACCCATGGCTGGCTGCCCAGAAAAGCACCTGAGCATTGAGATGTCTGTTGAATGTCATTTCTGTACTAACTATAAACATCTCTATTTCAATCCCTGCCTTCCCATGCCGTGCTTATAAACGGACTACACAGATAAACCAAGGTAAGTTTACTTACACCTCAGACTGCGTTTCCTCCAACACGCAAATCACACAAACCCATCACAGACAGTGAGCTGCTCCATTCCGCTTTGGGTGATGGAGGTGTTCTTAAATTAGAAGATCCACGCCAGAAGCCTTGTGCACGTGTCACAGCAGACAGCACAGCGTCCCCTACAATAGCACAGCCGACAGGATGGGGGTTGTGGGCCTATTGATGGCAGCCATGGCTACCAGCTCCCAGAGACTGGTTCTGTGTTTGGTAACACCCTGCACTGGGGCACAAATATGGGGGTTTGTGGCCTGGAAGCTCAGTCTGCAGCTGTGGGGCTCTCGTGCTGCAGACCAGCACCGCCTCAGCTCAGCAAGGACACGGAGGCTAACAGAGAAGAAAAGCTCCCGGTTTGCCCCCACGTCACACCCCGCAGATTTCACCGGGTCATTTCATATTCACACGCTCTTGGATTTGCTTTTGCTGACTCTTCGTTTCCATCTTTTCCTTTTGTGGCTCTCCCTGGCTGCCTTTTGCAAGGAGGTAACGAATCCCTTTGTCACCACTTCAGCTCCCTTCCCTTCCTTTTTCCCCTTGACACTGCAAAACGCTGCCTTGAATGAAACCCCCCGAAGCTGCCGGCCCTCCCCCGGCTCCTGAGCCGCCCCACCTGGGGCCGCACGGCCGCAGGGTGTCTGCGGGGGGAGCCGGGTTGGGGGTGGGATTCAATCGCTGCAACCGCACCGCGCTCCTTGCAGCGAGGAGGACATCGTCATCGAGGAGTTCGCCCGCCAGAAGCTCAAGGGAGAAAAAGACGATGAAGACGAGAAGGAGGAAGGCGAGAAGGAGGAGAGCTGAGCTGCCCGCAGACGGAGGCGCGGGGGGCTGTACCCCATAGCACCCGCAGCCCTGCCCGCGCTCAGCCCCGCGTGCCCCGTAGCTGCCCTGCCGTGCCCTGCCGTGCCCTGCCGTGCCCTCCTGCCCCGGCGCTGCTATCGGGCTGTCCGTTCTCGTCCGTCACCGGTCTGAATTACGCGATGTTTTCGGTGCGTTTATAAATAAACCGACACGAAACGAGAAACGGAGCCGCTTTGTAGGACCGCTACAACGGGGGTGGGTTCGACGCCGCCGCCGCCCGCCGCCAGGGGGCGCTGTGCCGCGCCGGTGACGCCATCGCGGCGGCAGCGGAAGTGACGCCATCGCGGCGGCGGAAGTGACGCGCGGCGCGGCGGGCGGGGGGCGGTGCCGGTGTGTGCTCGGCGGCCTCTTCTTCTCCTCAGTCACGGCTCCGGCTCGGCCTCTCCGCGCCGCCATGTCCGCCCCAGGCAGCGGCGGCGAGTTCGGCAACCCGCTGCGGAAGTTCAAGCTCGTCTTCCTGGGCGAGCAGAGCGGTGAGCGGGGCGGGGGTTGGGCCCGGCGCTGAGGTGCCGTTAGGCGGGGCGGGGCCGGCGGGGCGGCGGCCGGAGCGGGGGGGGAACCGAGGGCGGCGGGGTGGGTCGGGCCGGGGGTCGGTGAGCCGGGGGGTCGGGGGGCTCCGCATCGCCTCGCCGCCCGCGGCTGCGCTGTGGCCCCGGAGGCGGCGGCTGCCTCCCGCATCCCGCACTGCCGTCTGTTTCCTTTCAGCCGGACGCCGGGTCCGTTCCGTGCCCCTTCCCTCACGGTGCCTGGATGAATTGCGTCATTTTTTTGAAATCGGGGTGTTCTGTCTGTGTTGCTCTGCCGTATTTATCATCTCCTCGACCGCAGGGCTGCGTCTTACAGGAATTTCCAGAAGTTTTCAGGTTGAGCTGCCTCAGCGAGGCGGGATCCATGTTGCTGCTGACAATTGCTTGCCTTGTTCGTTGCTGGCACTCACCATTTCGCTGCTTTCTGCAGTTGTTTATTCCTTTCCTTTCCTCCCAAGAGGAATTGGGGATCTTTGGTTCCCATTCTCATCAGTTCTGCACTTTGTCTCTTGGTAACATTTGGATATGTGCATTTTCTTAAGCAAGCCATCAAAGTTCACGGAATCACAGAACAGCCTGGGTTGGAAGGGACCTCAAGGATCACAAACCTCCAACCCCCTGCCACAAGCAGGCCACCAACCTCCACATTTCATGCCAGCCCAGGCTGCCCAGGGCCCCATCCAGCCTGGCCTTGAACACCTCCAGGGATGGACAGGGCATCCACAGCCTCTCTGGGCAGCTGTTCCAGCACCTCACCACTCTCTCTGTCAAGAACTTCCCCCGACATCCAACATAAATCTTCCCTCCCTCAACTTCAAACCATTTCCCCTTGCCCTGCTATTATCTACCCTTTCAAAGAGTTTATCTTATATCTAAAATCACTTTATGGACAAATTATCTCAGTATTAAATGCTGCTTTTCTGTGGAGCCAGTGACAGCTAATTAGTGTCCAAGGCATCACTGTGTCAGCTTTTGATGCTTGCATCTGCGAGTCCCAGACTTGGTGATTACATAAGTGCCCAAATATGAATAACAAAGCAGATTTACCGCTTGCTCAAAGCAAACAGGCAGCTCTGTGTTGTTCTCATCATAACGTACCTAAATTGAGGGTCACGTTTCCATAGTGATTAATTTTTTTCTTAGATTCATTTGACTTAGTGCTCACCTATTATCTTATGAATGAATTTCTCAGCTGGTTATTTCCCAGGTGGGAGTAGCTGGGAAGTAGACTTATGTTGGCAACGTCATTCTGGTGATCAGTGGTAGCAGCGTGTCAGTCCTGAACAGCAGATTCTTCCACTGCTCTTTGGAAGTAATTTTGCCTCTTCTTTTATAGTTGGGAAGACGTCTCTGATCACCAGGTTTATGTATGACAGTTTCGACAATACTTACCAGGTATGTGGTAGACACTTCTCTATGAACACATCTACTTTCCACTACTAAAATGCATTCCTGTTGTGCACATCTCCATGAGATATCAATTGAGTATCATACACAAGTTTGTAGTGTGATTTGAAATGTAGATCAAACTGGGATTAAGTCCCAGTGTGCTGTCAGGCTGTGCAGTGTATAGAAGAGCTGTGAGGTTTCGATCCTGTTTGAGTATTGGAGAACTTTGAGGAAAAGAAGCATTGGTTTATGAGATCAGTGAACAAAAAAGACAATGGTGAGGATGAGCGAAGGTCAATATGGAGCATCAGGAAATAGGAAATAAGGTACACATGTGCTTCTGATAGTTCTTGATCTCTGGTATCTCTATAAACTTCCTGTTGAAATAGGAGTAGTTGAGTCCAGACTACATGGATAGACCCCCAAGAAGTCAACGTGGTATATTTTCTCTCTGTGTCACTCTCTTTTTAATTTTTAAATGTATTTTTTGTTTTTTAGCTGAAAGGCTATAGATAGAAAAAGTCAGGGAAATTTTGGCAAGGCGAGAGTAGGGTAGGGATGGAGAGACTTCAGACTGAAAAGCTCAAGATGTGTAGGAGGCGCAGAGATCTTGGGAAGAGTTAGCTGAAATAAAATGACTTAGTGGTATTTCAAAGGAATACTGAGTATCTTTAAGGAAAATGAGACTGGGGTGGCCTCTTTTAATGCAGGCCAGAAAGAGTTATTGGTTTCAGTTGGAGTAATTTCAAGCTGGAAGATAACAGAGAAGATGGTTTTTTCGAGGACGAGTCATTTACTGAAACTGGATCCACTTGTGCTTTGTGTGCTTTTCTTTTATTCCTAACTCTTGTTGGATGCTCTAGAGGGTTTATCTTGTTGTAAGCTGTCTTGGCTGCAGAAAACAGGGCTCCTAGAAAAGAGGTAATGACTACAGAAATTGACAGTTGTGGTTTGATCCGATATCAGCTGGTTCGTGTTCTAATGGATTCTTCCAGAACACATGATGCTGCCTGTGTTTAAGTCTGGAGATTGTATTAAAATCTGTTTAGTAATCAATAACTTGTTTCCTGGTGTTGCGATGGGCAAGGATACCTGCTTGATTTAAATGCCTGCAAATATTTAACACCTCTAATTTAGTAAGTTACTTTGGGTTTTCTGTACTGGAAAGTCTGTGCAGCAATGGAAACGTGAATGGAAGGAGGTAGGTGGAAAGAACCGCTTGGGAAATGAAGCTTCTGATTGTCCTTGAAAAGGAAGAGCATTCTCTGTTTTTGGATAGCCTTGAATCAACGTTATTTTTTAGGTTTCAGCACAGTTGCTCACAATTTATTTGCTCTACCTTCTGGTTATTTCTAATAAGAGAAATGTTACCAGAATTAATTGCAGTAAAGCAGAGGGAGATGACAGGACAGATACGATCTGTGCTGAGATACATGAATGTCAAGGAGGTAAAATTAGAATTTGGAGGATCTTGTGAGTTGAGAAGTGTTGGAAGAATAGTGTGAAGTAAAGATAGTGGAGATACCCAGATTGCTTTGTTTTTATCAGCTTTTTTGAAGGCAGATGACTTCAACAGCTAAGTTACAAGTTAGTGAACGTTTTTTAGAGATTGTGTAGAAAGATTTGATTTGCAGATACTGGGAGGCAGTTACTAATGCTTTTCTTCTTTTCAGGCAACCATTGGAATTGATTTCCTGTCAAAAACAATGTATCTTGAAGATCGCACGGTAAGTGAGGCATCTGTATGATAGTGTGGCAACTGTGCTCATGGCAGCAGCAGCTGCTGTGCGTGCTGTTTGCCTGGCCAGTCCTCCAGTGGCTGCTGAAATCCCGCAGCAGCCTTCAGAGGGACAGCCTTCGTTGAATGAAATCACTGAGCCGTACTCTTTCTGGTACCCACTTGTATGTAAGACCTCTAGCACTAAGCCTAATCCTTTCATGCAAAATTGGAGCAAGCTCATGTCCATGTCCTGGGGGAATGGCTGTCTGCTCTGCTTGATAGGCATGGTTTGCTCCCAGAATTTGCAGCTCTGTCTGTAGGGATTGTCAGTGTGAATGGATGTGGACAGACCGCAGGTAGCAAGTCCAAGTTTTGAAGTCATTCAGGATTAACAATAATGGCACGGTTCCCCTTTGCAGAAAGATCTATTTGTAACACAATGCTGACTTTCTGTTAATAGAGCATTTTTGAATTTAGCTTGCAAGAGACTCCTTTTTGTATAAAGAGATCCCTTGTATCTCTCTCCTGTCTTTCAGCATCTGTCCATTTGTTCATGTTTTGCTAGTAGTTGCCTTTTTGCTCATTTTATTACTGGCCAAGAAGTACAAAACTGCTGGCAGGAGGGAGGGGTCACTGGAAGCCTTTTGTATTGTTTTGAGTCTGTTGCTTTTGAAGAAATCTCATCCCTGTGTGTGGTGAGATTCTCCTGAGTGCTTCTCTGCCATCTTACCAGCAACTGATTGTTAGAAAAGACCTTACTGAATCTTTGGGAGAGCTACTTGGAGAATGTTCTTCAGTGTTGTTAGTAGATATTGAGAATGCAGCTTGACACCCGTTAAGTCAAGGTGGAAGAACCTCAGAACATGAGGTTAATCGTAGCAAACAAGCCTGTGTCTTGTTTACAGCAGTCTGTAGTTCTCAAGTGTAGTTGTGGTTCCTTATGGCTGTGTAGGTCACGATGCCATGCACCTCCTGGCCTGCTGCCCAAAAAAATGGCTGGTATACTGTTAGCTTTCTTAATTATTTATCCTGTTAAAATAATGAGAGGTGCCGAGCGAAAGTCAGGAGGGAGAAATACTAGCACACCAAGCTAGGCAATGAAATTGTTTCTCAGATATGGCTCATCCTGTATTTTGCTGTAGGCTTTGTCTGCTTGCTGTACTTGAAGAATGTGAAGCCTCCAACTGCAGCTTATGCTTTGACATACATGTCTTTATGCCAAATAATATGTCCTGTATGTAGTGGATTGTACCCCACTACTGTTCCTAAGCACTTCACATCAGAATTTCCAGTGGATTAATCAAAACTGTATCTGGATGATGCACTCCTTAGGATTTGGAGTGACCACATCTAGCTAGCTGTAGGCTACAATCTGTATGACTTTTGTACCTGGAGTCCCCATCTGGCAGAATGCACTGAGGTATGTATGCATATTTCCCTCCTTAGCAGACAGGTTTGAAAGGTATTGTAGGGATATTTGGGAAATGGAAGAATGTGCCTGTGTACAAGTTCCTGATGGTCGTGTGGAGGGGGAGAAGTTTCTCTGATGTGTCAGGTTACAGTTAGAGATATCAATGGCTCTTTTCACGCTTCTGTTCCATTTTAACTTTCCTTTTGTTGCATTTTTTTAACCTTGCAGTTTTTTTTTCTTTTTATTTCACTTGAGTTTCGGTTTTGTTTTCCATTTTCCTGCCCTTTCCTTTCCCTCTTCCCTGCACTTTTCCGTTTCCCAGATCAGGCTGCAGCTGTGGGATACAGCCGGCCAGGAGAGGTTCCGCAGCCTCATTCCCAGCTACATCCGTGACTCTGCTGTGGCTGTCATTGTCTTTGACATTACAAGTAGGTATTGAGCCTGAGTGTCTGCAGAGGCCTTGCTTGTAACGTGTGCCTTTTATGCTTTGGAGGCAGTGGTGGTTTCTGAAAGTAGTTAAGTGCAGCGTCTGATGCACGGACTCAGATGTGAATGATCCAAATTGTTTATTACAAGTTCTCACATCACTTACATACCTTCACAAGTTTTCTAGCTTTCCCATCCACCCCTACAACTTTCCCATTTACCTTTCCATGTCAGCAGAGCATTCTACAAAACACTCTTCAACCATTCACATGGGCGCTTTTCCAATCAGAGCCATGAGACATTTTTTCTTCTTCTAGAGGTGTCCTTGGTTCTCATGCTGTTTATCTCGCTCCACAGCTTCTGCTCTGAACAGTTTTTCTTCTATTCCCACAGTTAAGATAGAACATCAGCCCCAGAACTGCAGGTGTTTTCTGGGCTGAGGGGGAAATAGGTGAGCATCTAACCCCCAAACCAATGTAAACTCCATCTCGTGACACCTAAACTGGGCAGACATTTAACCCTTGTCTGCTCAGAAATCAAACTGTGGAGATGATACAGAAAACTGCCCTGGCAGGTGGGTAAATAGGGGTTGTGACTGTGTGTGACTTCATGGAATAAAAGGTGGCTGTAGCCTTTAGAAAACTTCTTAGCTTTTCTGTTTTTTTTTTGGTTTTTTTGTTTTTTTTTTGGTGGGTTTGTTGTTGTTTTTGCTGTTGTTTTCATGCTTTCTTCCTGTTTGGTGGTTTTTTGTTTCATTTTTCAAATCTTCATATGTTTTTTCCACTCTGGATAACTAGAGAGGTAATAGAGGTGCCAATTTCAGAGGCCAAACCAGTGAATTACTGCCAGACTAGGTAAAACACTCATTTAAATAGAAGCAACGTGGTGACTTGTGAGTATTCAAGACTCCCATTTCATTGAAGAACAGAACTGACAATTCATGTGAGTCACCAGAGAGCTTTTGAGAAGGAATTCCTCTCGCCACAATTTCTAAAGAATAAATGAATTTATATGGAAACTGTCTATAACTCTTGGCATAAGCATTTTAGTACATGAAAATAATTATTTCATGATAACTCTGTTATCGTTTCCACTTGCTCTGGCTTTTTCGGCTAAGTGAGCTACAGTATCAGCTAGACAGGGTTCATATCCCCTGAATTAAGCTGAAGTGAAGAAAGTACCACAGATTTAAACAAATAAAGCACCACTCCTTTGGCTTGCCTTCCTTCTGTCACAGACTGTAGCTTATTGTGAGTCCATATGGATCAGGAGATTGTTTCACTTTGGAAAATGGAAGTGCTTAACAGATGATAACAAACTGCCCTCAGAACATGAGGTTAATTGTAGCAAAAAATAATTACAGTGTTTCAATTCTGTAGCTTAAGTATTTAGGGAGGATTTCTGGTTTGGTGTAAAATATTGTAAAGCTGATCTTTTGGGGTTTGAGGGGTGCTGAGATGTGCACGTGATGACATGCTGGGAATTGATTTACATGAGCAGAGTTCCAGGCTGCATAGGCTGGCATCTTTTCCTCCCAGCTGTTGTGACAGGTTCAGGAGGTTGTTTATCCAGGCAGGTGGAACAATCTTGCCACAGTCCAGGTTGTTATTAACAACTTCCAGACATGTCAGAAATAATTAAATGATAGCTGATCTCAGCATGCCTCAGTAATGGTCTGATCTTTTCAGATAACATCATTTTTTTCCTGTTACTGCTCTTTGTTCTGTTCTTAGCAACTAAGAAGCTTTTAGTTTTCTCATGATAGTGAAGGAATACGCTTATGTACTCTTGAGGGCATAATACTGGTGACTGAGGGGATTACAGAAATAGTTTCCAGTCTGAAGAGCTGTGCATTTGCACTGTCTTTAGTAGCAACTGTATTTGGGAACCTCTGTCTTCTCTAAGTTAATGCTGATCACAGTTGTGTAAAACGAGGACAGTCCCGTGAGTACCTGCCAGGATGCTCTTACAAGTACAGGAAGAACTGCTGGCTCCACTAGTTTTTCCTTTTCAACAAGATTAGCAAGGCCAGCTAGTCACCTTTAGTGGCTTTTTTGATTGTGAATCTGCAGTCTAGAGCATTTAAATCACCACCTTGGTAAATTTTGTGGGTGAAAAAAGCTGGCGTAGCAATAATGTTTTGGACACTCTATAATGAATTCATTGTGGAGTTCAAAGCCCAGAGCCTGAAAGTCATTACTATCAGTCTGATCTGCCAGCAGAGGTGTGATATTGTCCAAGTGCTCAGAGTTCATCACCCTGAGTTTCCAGGGGTAGTGAGGAGCCCTGATTTTTGCTACTGTAACAACAGCTGCCATTAGGAGGAGAATGCTTCAGCTGTAAAGCCCTAATCTTCCTGAAGTCCTTGGGCAGCCATGTGGGTATTCTGATATAGATGTGTCTTGTTTAATCTGTTTTATCAAGACATTTTGCAGACACGTGCATCTATTTAATTTTTTCTTATAAACAAACCAACCATCAGACCTTCAGAAACCGTTTTCTCCCTTGTAGCCTATCTCCTGCCAGCTCCTTACCCAGCAGCATTCTGTCCATAAGGAGCCACTAGCCCTCATCACTGCGCAAGTGGTTTTGTGAGCACATCTTACCAATTCCTGTAACTCAGCTGGGATCCAGTATCTGCCTGCCTATGGAAGTCGTGGCTGCTGAGGATGCAGTGTGCTCCTTTTCTGGCAGCCTGGCACTGCTTGTACAGCTAGCTACGTGGGGTGATAACTTGGGAGGAGATGGTATCACTACCAATTGCTATAAGCTTTTGTTTAGCATTCCTTGTGATAGTCAGGCATTTTTTGGCTGTTGTGGGTCCCAGCATCATGTGGGCAAAGTGGTGGTTAGGACTGCATGCACCACATATTCATACATACTAAGAGGGAAAAAGGATGGTAGTAAATGAGATGCTAGTGCTGTCATATAACTTGGTTTGTGTTTGGAAATCACTGTGGTTCTGGAGATCAAGCTGTATCTTATAGCATTTGGTACTTGGTTCTGACTCTTGTGCTTATTATAAGGGGAGAGCCCAGTGCCCTTTTTGCACATCAAGCCTGTATTGTAGCATTTGCTTTTTCTTCTGCTGGAACTTAAGTTATCAGTTGCCCTGATATTGCATGAAAATCTCCATTACCATCTTCTGGCTGCATAATGCTGGGAGAATGGATGCTGTTGCACTACTTAGTGTCAGACTTGAGGTAGTTACGTGTCTGCCATGTGGTAAATGCCCAAAGAGTTTTAACTGGGTCATGGTGGGCCAGGAGCACCACGGAGATCTTGCATAAATAACCCTGGGTACAGTAGGAAGGTAGCTCTGTTATGTACCTGCTGCCTTTAGCAGCAGTGGCTGGAGGTGGCAGCTGTAACCTGGAGCTCCTTGGGATGTGGTGGCCATGGGAGTAGGAGAATCTCTAGGCAAGCAAAGGAGGTAATGAAAGCACATTATGTGCAATCAAAATCTGAAAAGCCAAATTCTATGGTGTGTGGGTGTTTGGAGCTGGATTACAAGGTCACTATCAGCTTCTGAGACTGAGCTGCATATAGTCGGTTCTAGAAATGGCCTTTTCTCTAAAGGACAGTTTCCTCCTTTCTTTTCTCTCCTGCGTTCTCTCTGCTCTCCCTGGCCTGGTACCAGCAGGTTCGGCTGCAGCTCTGGGACACAGCAGGCCAGGAGCGGTTCCGCAGCCTCATTCCCAGCTACATCCGCGACTCCACTATTGCTGTGGTAGTCTATGACATTACAAGTGAGTGATGCTTTGGTGTCTCGTTATTTGAAATACTGCATGTGAGCAGAACTGCTTCCACAAGTTCTGCGTAAAGATGATTAACTGTAGAAATGTTTCCCCCCCACCCCTGCTGGTTTTTCTGTTCAGGCAGAAAACAATTTGTGGGTCATTTGTATGTGATGTGGGGAGACTTGGAGAGCATCTGGATACAGGCATACCCAGATTCATATGTTTTCTTTCTTGCTTAAAAGTAGTTTTATCCTTAGTGTTCCCATTTGTTTCTTCCTTACAGACTTGAATTCCTTCCAGCAGACCTCCAAGTGGATTGATGATGTTCGGACAGAGAGGGGAAGTGATGTCATCATCATGTTGGTGGGGAACAAAACTGATCTGGCAGACAAGAGGTAATAGAGAGGAGCTGGTGGCCTCGCTGCCCGACCAGGAAAAGCAGGGAACTGGCTGACTTAGACTCTTAAAGTCCCGTGGATTTCACATCTTAGGGCATGTTGTAAAATGTTTGCCTTTAAAATTCTTAATTCTGTGATGCTGCTTCAACTAACAGCCACCATAATAGCTTTTCAGAGGACCATGTTCTGCATTTCTATTTCAAATTCATCTCCTTATTGTTGAATTAAGAAAACATATTTAATGTTTTCAGAGATTTTCCTTTATGAATGCATTACAAATAGTGTAGATAATGAAAAATCGTTTATTTCAGTGGTCGACTTCACAATTAGTTGACAAAAAGAAAATGGAGTAAGCAGCTCCTGACAATCCCAGTACTTTAACCTAACACATGCATGTATATGGGTACTCTAAGATGTGTTCATTGCCTTTCAAAGGGTATATGAGACCTTGAAGTTACAAGGAATTTTTATTTGGTGTAAAAGAATCTCAGAAAAAAAACAAAACTGGGCAGTGCCTGGATCTCACAGTAAAATAGAGTCATATGAAATTGAAACCTGGCTGTTCATGAGACGCTTCCAATCAAAAGATAACATCTTCAGAAGCTGTTTTCTCAGAAAAGAAATCCTGCACTATTATCTGAGTTGCCTGTTTGTTTACTTTTCTTCTCAGTATGATGTGCCTAACAGCAGTCTGACTGTTCCATTATTGGATGTTGCTATGTTTTAAATTATAAATTTTGCTTTATTCACTCCTGAGATGTAAATATTGCTATGGGAAATATTGTGATGCTTTTGTTTTTTTCCTTCCCCTTACATTTTTTGTGTTGTACAAATGCTCATGTGAGACAAGAGCCAGCATCCCTGGCTGTACAAGGATGCTTTTTGCCTTTTGTCTCTGTGCAAATCATGCTATTAGTTTTTAGTTTGCTGTGCCTAGCAGGAAAAGCATAGTACTAAAACTCATGATAAGTTTTCCTGAGTGCTGCATGGGCTTCTGTACTGATGATACTTGTGGAAATGTTTCCTCTGCCCTTCACACCTTCTTATCAATTGTTTCACTTTTCCCAGCTCCATTGGAGGCCAGTGCAAGTAACCTATGCCTTACACTTCAGAAATGTTGGAAGCTTGGTGCCCCAGAGCTTCAGAAATGTGATTGATGTATAGAGCTGACTTAGATTAAGAAATCCAGGTAGCAAGAACTCAGAATGGTCTGGCCTCTGATTTCAACTCCTAAAAGCATCTGAACAAAATCTAATGGGTTATACTTCATTCATCAGCTCTGTATGCTGACCAGCTGCTATCACTTATGCCCTCCCAGGAGCTGGAAATATCTGCAGCTCTCTAACTGAAAAATCTGGAGTTCAGATTTGAGGCTAATTTGTATTAATTTCCATTTTTTTGTAGAACTGTAAAACCCAGTGGGATAATTCCTGTCTTGTATTATTTTCTGGTGGTGCAGAAGAGTATGTGCAGAACAGCTGTTTCATCTCTGCCATACAAATATAAAAACCAGGAACATAGCTGTGGTTGGAGTTGATGTAGCACTGAAAATCAGAAGTTTAATTAAGTGTCAGCAGTCCTGGCCTAGGCTTGAATTTGCCATTTCATGTAAATCGTGATATCAGTAAAAGAAGCCCCATTGTCTTGACCAGAACTGTAAAATAAAAGCAGCTTTGTGGCAAGCTGAAATGCTGGGCCTCTCAATGCTGGAAAAACAGTGTCAGTCTGAATCTTATCACATTATTTTTTTGTTTTAAATACTGTACAGCATATTGGAACCCATTCCCCCTGTGGTAAAATCAGTGATGATTCAGGTTGAGTTCTAGTGCCAAAAAGCTGAACTTAGGATAGCAGTGGTTTTATTTGCTGCAGCCTGTTAATTTTTCTTTCCTGTCAGTGTTGCTTCAGTTGGTGGCTGTTTTTTGCAGTTTTCTTTTTATCAGTTTTGGACTATTTTTCTTTGTTTTGGTTTTTCTTTTCTGTGATTTGTTCTCATTGCTGTAGACAGGTTTCTATAGAGGAGGGTGAGAGAAAAGCCCGAGAACTGAATATGATGTATATTGAAACCAGTGCTAAATCAGGATATAATGTGAAACAGGTATGTACAGGGCATTGGTCAGAGATGCATTTGCAGGTGCTTGCACACAAGCTGTAGCTGCTGCTGGAGCCTTTCTGATTTCTTTCTGTAATCTTGTGGAGTTCCCTTCTGTTGGCTTTTGGGAAATGGCTTTTTTGCAGCAGGTGTAGCTAATGGGGATTCTTCTTCCCTTGAGAGTGCTGTGAATGAGACTCAAATGTACTGCATAAAACTTCATCCTGTGCTGATCATCTTTTAGTAATGGTCTTAAGTCCAGGTGTTTTCTGAATAACTTACCTGACATTGTCTCCTTAGCTGGAGAACTCAGGGGTCTTAATTACCCAGAGGTTCTGAGCTCTCCGTTTCTGGACTCTGCACTCTGGTAATGGGCAGTGAACGGGTCCTTTCATTGACGAGTGTCTCACTCACAGATGTCTCTAATTCCTCTTGACTGTTTTTCCTTTCTGTCTTTCTGCTTCTGTTTGCACCTTTGTCCAGGCAAATCACTACAGAAGAAGGGGAACAGAGAGCCAAAGAGCTGAATGTGATGTTTATTGAGACCAGTGCAAAGACTGGATACAATGTGAAACAGGTAGATCAATCTTCTGTTCTCAAGGCAGGAAATTTGTACTTTCCTTTTGCTTTGTGGGAGAATTAAGCTTCTTCTTAGGGTTCGTGTTCTGTCTGATACTTGCTTGTATTTACTCTCAGCCTCTGAAATGGTCCTTGCCCAGTGGTCACTGCTGCTGCTTTATCTAGTGAAAGCTTCCTTCGTGTCAAATCGGTGAATCCCTGTTAAAGCTAAGGAAACTTAACTTACCTTGAAAGATAAGAGGATCTAAAAATAAAATATGCTGAGGAATAGAAATGGCAGTACTTAGTGCAGCCTGTCAAACATCATTTTGTCCATTCCCTTTGCTGCTGTTAACCATTAACGCACTGTTTTCTAAAATCAATTTTGACACGTCAAGATAGTAGCATATGCTGATGCTTAAAGTGGAAATTTCTGGTTCTGTTGACAAGCCACAAGAAAAAAAATCGCAGAATGATTGAGGTTGGAAGGGAGCTCTGGAGATCTTGTCCAGCCCTCATGCTCAAATCATAGGCAGCTAAAGCAGGCTGCCCAGATCTGACTCCAGTTGGATTTTGAGTATGCCAAAGAATAGAGACTCCATCTCTTCAGGCAACCTGCCCCAGTGTTCAGCTACCTTATAGCTAAGGTAAAGGATCTGCAGAGAGCATAAGCATGATTAGTGTTGGGAAGCTGCCAGCTGGGAAACCTGCTTAAGTTTGCTGCACACCAGCTGGCTGGAAGAGCCTGGTGATAGGATTAGGGGATGATTTTTGTTTCTGTAGCTGTTTTGGTGCTCAGTGGCTTGATTTTTTTTTTTTTTTTTTTTTTCCAAGTAACATGTTTTGAAAGTGTGGATGAGAACCGCTGCCAAGCTACTGTGAAGAAAAATCATTGTCAGCTGATGATTCCTTTAGTTCTTTAAATGAGAAGCTTTTACACAGCATCTTTCACTTGACTGTAGCAGTGTCTGCATTGTTTGCTGCTTCATTAATGGTGGCAGGAGGAGCCCTAAGCACTGGTTTAAAATTATGCACAACCATTTTCTGTCTTCATGAGCATATGCTAGTCCTTCCCAGCTCTTGTACATCCTTAATAGCTTAAAGCAGCTCACCCAAGCTGGCCATTCTGCTCAGAGGTGGCTGTTTCACAGCAGGACTGAACTGAAAGGTTTAGCTGTAGAACCTTGGTTATTCCATAGACTTTTGGAGCACACCTCTCAACAAACTGAAGGTTTGTTAGAGGTCCTGAGCCAAGCATTGTAATGTAGCTGTGTGTAAAAGCAGTTGAGGCTGGAAATAGTAAATTGTAGCCTCTAGCACGCTTACCTGTATGCAGGGGGGATTTGTTTTTATACATCCCTAGATGAACAATTTATAATGAGAATGAACTCCATGTTCAGCTCAAGTAGAAGCAGATAAAAGCAAGCCACCTGTTTGGTAGGCATTCAGTAGCTTCATTTCCTTAAGCAAGCTTGTTAAATTGTTTGTGGAAAAAAGTCTTGTGGCATTTGATTGTTGCTTTGCTTGCTAAAATACCCACATAACAAACCTGTAAAATGCTCAGATCTGCCATAGAGCAGTGGGTTTTGTGTTGTTTTTAGTTTTTGACATGGATTTCTTTCTGACAAGCTTTCAGTTCACCTGTTGCTACCTTTCAGCTATTCCGTCGTGTGGCTGCTGCCTTACCCGGGATGGACAGCACACCAGAGAAGAGCAAAGAAGACAGTATCCTTGTTTTTTCAACAATAATTTTCTGGATATCGTAGGATTTGGCAATTAACACTTTGTGAGTTTGGGCTTACTGTCTTGTTGATACATCTGGGGAATAGGCCTCAGTGGGGTTTTTCAGATACCTGGCTGAAAACAGTGCAGTGTGGTGCACTGCACCGGCAGCCATGAAGTGTGGCCCCTGCTTGTGGTCTCTGTGTAAATATACATAACTACTTGTACATGTGCTCTGCTCTTACCAAGAAGGGCTGCTGACAACTCTTTAAGATGCTGATCATGTTCTCTAGGTATTTTTTCTTTTCCCTGGGACAGGTGATTTCCTTAACTTACCTCCTGCAGTGATTGACATCAAACTAGAGAAGCCTCCTGAGCAGCCAGTAACGGAGAGCGGTTGCTCCTGCTAACAGGCCCGTTCTGTAGCAGCACATTCCCCAGCTGGCCAGTCTCACTGAAGAACATCACTGCTCATTGGCTAGGCAACCCTACTTTGGGCTGAAAAAACAACCTACTAAGCGAGCGAACTCCCTGTTTATGGTGGGGAGCAGCCCTGGCCGCCCCTCTTACTGCATGGTATGAGCCTTGAGTGCAGAATGAGTGTCCTGTCTTTTATTTTATTTTTTTATGTTGTTGCACTTTGGCACCGTGGTGCCCTTTACACTCCCTCTTTCTCTCTCTTCCTCTCCTCCCCTTTCCCACCTTGAGCCTGTCTGCTCAGATGTATCATGTGAATGCAATGGAAAAGCCACCAAGTTAGGGAAAAGAAAAAAAAAAAAAAATAAAGCTTGGGGGTGGGTTTTCCACTTTCCTTTACTGCCTTGCATATTAACTAGCTCCTGTCCACTCCAGTCTTGTCTGTTCTGCATCCCCACTTCCTCTGTTTAAAGGCTGCTCCTTTTACACCAGTCAGTTTGACTTGGCCTTGCTGTTTTGGGCAGTACAGGTTATCTGTTTGTAGGCTTTTGCTTCCTGCGAGGCACACACACAGTATTAGCTCTTCAGTTTCTCCTTTTTGTGGATGATCTTGGCTAAGTTTTGCTTATGACTTCTGGGTTTTGTCCTATACTCTGACCCTCATGTGATGCAAAACTGGAAACTCCCAAACTCTTAGCTTTGACCTTGTTGCTCCCATCTGTGTAGCAGAGACATCCCACAGATTGCTCCTTGTGGTGTATCTTCCTGCGTGGAGGATGCTTGGTGAGTGTTGGCAGTAAGATGTGGGGAAGGAAATGGGTACAGAGACTTTGCAGCATGGAGGTGGGTGGGGAGAAATCCTCAGGGTGATTTGTAGGGACCTTGGTCTTATCTGTCAACAGCAAATGCAGACAGCTCTGTGGAGCTCATCACTGCAGGAGCAATACCTGGGAATTGTGTGTGGTGATCAGGTTCCTTTGCTAGTCTCCATCCTTCTGTTTGTAGTCACATGGACTAGGAGCTGCTTCCTCGAGAGCAGGTGGGCTACAGCAAATTGAAGGCCAGTGATAGCTGTTCTGGCTTCATATCTAGGTTGCTGCTTAATGAAATCACACACAGCTGCTTCTGCTTTTGCTGTGGTCTCACAGAGAGTGGGGGCTAGTACCCTGTTGCTTTTGGTGGTAAGCTGTAACAGAGATAAGTGCTAGCAGGGATTTATTATCATATGTGAGTGGGGAAATGTACACTGCTAAAGTGCATTTTATTGTCACTTCTGGATGCCTGAGGTTGGGAAATACCTCGCTTTTCCCTCGGCTCTCTGCCCTTGATTTCTAACAGTGTTAGTAGAGCTCTTTGTAAACTTTCATTGGGATTTTTTTTGTGTGTGTGTGTGTGTGTATGTTTGTGTGTCCATCTGACCAATCCAGAAGTCAGGAGGTCTGTTGACAGAGAGGAGAATAGAACAGCCAGGTGGTTTTAAGCCATTCACCAGTTCTTTCATCACCCAACCTATGTATCGCCACTGGGATGCTGGTGGGGAGGAGCACAGCATGCCACAGTGTTAAGGGTACAAACAGGGACAGTGATGTTTGGGTTAGTGAGGCTCTCCTAGCAGGATGCCTTGTCGGTCACTGACATAGTGTGTGCACTTTGAAACCTGTGGGCTGGGGAAGGAGGGGAGGGGGTGGCCTTGGGCTGGGTGCTGGTGGCCTTGTTGGAGAAGCGCCTGGTCAGAGTGCCATGGCTGCTTCCTGGTCATGTTGGCTTACTGGCATCTGGTGACCAAGCTGCAGGTGGCTGCCCTTGTTCTCAGAGAGCTTTGTCCCTTCCCCTCCACATGAGCTGGCCTGCAGGAGGAAGCTGGGATGTCATTTCCCCATTTCATTCTGGAGTGTCCCTACCCCTTACCCACACTTCCAGCTGGCGTGGCTGGGTCCTCTGTGCCCAGCCCCAGCAGTAAGTCAGCCCCCTCCTCTGTACATACTCCTGTCATGTGGGAATTGCTGATATTTGTTGGTGTGTGTGCGCGTGTCTGCTGTAGAACAGGTTTTGCTGTCCCTTTCTCATGGGCAGGTGTGCACTGTGCCTGCTCTTGTATTGTTCTGAGTCACGGGCCTGGGGGGGGAAGGGGAGAACCATAAGTAATGGGGGGAGGGGTAACTAGTGAAATAAAATAGTTCACTTCCCACTGTCTTCTCTATGGATGTGTATAATATTGAGTGTGTGTCTGGCCCTGCTGTCTCCTAGCTGTTAGCCAAGTAAGTGTGACTATTACTATGAATATGGACTGTCTGACCACAGCCGTGTATCACACTAAATAAAGTTATTTCACCAACACCTCCTCTGTCCTGCTTCAGCAGCAAGCCAGTGTCCTACTGGCAGCTTTGACGTGGCTGTAGGGGGCGGGAGCTGCTCTGCCCGGCCCCGGGGTGGTGACAGAGTGGGGCTGGGAGGCTCTGTCCTGGTGCAGGGCTGCATGGAGCGGGCACAGGTGCCCGACGCCGCTGCTTTCCGTGCCTTCAGGCAGCGCTGTCAGGATGGCAGCTGGCAGCGGGACCGCGGTGGGCTCGCTGTCTGCCTCCAACTGCCGCCGCCTGGCTGTGCCGTACACCAGCTCAAGGTGAGGGCTGGGGGCAGCACCAGGCTGGTGGTCGGGTTCAGAAACCTGTTCTGAGCTCCCGGTACTCCCTGCAGTGCCGCATCGATGTCCCGGACGTGCCAGCAGAGACGATGTACGACGTGCTGCATGACAGCGAGTATCGCCGGGAGTGGGACAGCAACGTCATCGACACGCACGACATAGCCCAGGTGGCTGCCAACGCTGATGTGGGCTACTACGCCTGTGAGTGCAGGGGGCCAAGGGGCTGGGTGGTGCTGGCCTTCTTTTGTCAAAGCCTTGGTCTGTGTTCAGCAAGGTACACCCCTAACACCCCTACCCAGCCTGCCTGGCAGGAGGGACGTGATTTGGCATGGAGGATGCAGCTCAGAACTGCTGTTATGTGATGTGAGGTGGGCTGCTGAGGGATAGGAGTGGTGCTGTGTGGAGATACTGAGATAGCAAAGCAAGGTTGGGTGGATGCTTGGGCACGGCAGGAGCCTCTTGAAGGGCTGCTGACCTCCGTGTGGTGCTTGGGCAGGGGAAGCAACTTTCTCCTTTCCTCATCCAGGGCGATGTCCAAAGCCCTTAAAGAACAGGGATGTGGTGATGCTGCGAGCCTGGCAGGTGGAGGATGGGTATCACACCATTATCAACTTCTCTGTCAAACACCCGGTGAGTGAGGAGCAGGCTGGGCTGGAAGGCTGTCCTCTTACAGGATCCCACCTATGTCTGGGATAAACTGGAACTCCTAGAGCCCGTCACAATTAGCTTCCTAATTCCTGGACGAGACCCCAGCTGGAGGCAGCTGATCTAGCCTGGTCGTTGCTCTGTGTATTTAGTGCCAGACCTGAGAGAGGGAGAGGGCAGGGAGCGTGGAAGCCAGCATCTGACTGCCTGGTGTGTCTGCACAGAAATACCCTCCGCGCAAGGACCTGGTAAGGGCGGTCTGTCTCCTAACGGGATACCTGGTGCATTCAACTGGGCCCAACAGCTGCAGCCTCACCTACCTGGCACAGGTGGATCCAAAAGGTAACTGGTGCTGCTGGACTTGTGTGGTAATGCAAATTCTGGTCAGAGTGGAAATCTGGCTTATAAGCCAAGAGTGCATCTACATTACATGGCACTACGCTCTGGTTCTGGACGCTCTGGTTAATGCTAATGCCACAGCTTGCTATCAGGGCTGTTGGATACTTGGCAGGAATAAAGTCATTTTCTGGTGCAATAACTTCTGGTTTTCTCCCCAAAATTTACTAGGGTCACTGCCAAAGTGGGTTGTGAATAAAGCCTCGCAGTACCTGGTGCCGCAGGTGAGTGGAGCATTCCTATGGTGTGTATGCCAAGTGCCACCCCACTGGCTGGAGCACAGGGCTGGAGAGTGGGTGTCCCTGGGCAGTGGAGCTGCACTAGGAATGTGCATCGTGGCTCACCTCAATGTGACATTACATTCTGTCAGCCTTACCAGTCCCGACAGCTGACTGATTCATTTCCGAAGCCAGAGGGAGGTGAATAATGCCACTATTCCGGTTTCCAGTTGTGCAGTGTTCTCCCTCACCTCTGCTGTTCATGCAACATCTGAACAGGACCTCAAGGCTCAGGAGCTTTTGGAGGTCCTGAACCACGCAGCAGAGCAGGACAGACACAGAGGATTTCTGTGCCTTGATGGTTTATAGAAAGTTTGATTTGACTTTCCTAAGGCAGCTGATGTCATCAAGGGATCTGAGCAATTTGAAAATGGTCCTACAAGGGAGTTAAAAACTGGCCTTTCCTGAGCTCCTATGCAGCCAGAAAAGAAGTGCAGTAGCTGTCAGTAGTGGGCAGATCGCCAAGAGTTTTTATAAGCTGCCATAGTTGTTTCCCTCTGTGCTTCCCTGCTTTTGATCAGATGTTAAAGAAACTGCACAAGGCCTGTGTGCAGTACCCTGCGTGGAAGCAGCAGCACAACATAAACGTGAAGCCCTGGCTGTACCCTGAGCAGAACAAGCTTCCCGTGCTGGCGCTGTCAGAGCTGGCACTGCAGCGTGCTGCGTCGCTGGAGAACATCGACGAGAGCAGCCTGGCTGAAGAGAAGGATGAGAGCAGTGACCACAGTGGCTTGGAGAACTGATGTTGCTCAGGCTTGTCTAGTGTTTTACAAGAAGGGGGGAAAGAGTTTTTTACTGAAAAAAGAAATCTTCATGTTTGTAGCCTTTTCTCATGAGCCAGCTGCATGGCTCCTGGCTTGCTGGCTCTGCTTAGTGCAAGGCGCTTGGGATGATAGTCCTGACCTGGTAATGTTATGCTCTGGGAGAATTCATACCACCTATTTCTCAGGTGAAACCTGCCCTCACAGAATACAGCTTGTTCTGGACCTGTTGCTCCCAAGAGGTCAAGTTACCTGTGGTAGCTCTGCCAGGCTGCTCTACCAGCTGGTGAGTTACTCATTGACAAACTGCTCTTTGCCTCTGTTTTGTGAGTGGCTGAAAGATCTTGTGTTGCTGGAGCTGTTGTTTTCCCAAAGGGAATCAATAACTACCTGGTGTTTCCCTCCAGCTCTGAACGATGAAACAGACTGGTGACAAGTACAAGTGACAAGTACTGCTCTGTCCATTAAAGATACTTAAGCCATGAATGGTCCTTGAGAAGAATCCACTCTTTCCTTGTTAGCCCACAGCCAGTTGTGGGGGCTGCAGAAGCACCTGAGCAATTCTGAGTATTAGCAGAGGAAGCTGCCCTAGGCAGGGCTGATTTTTTCTGGTGCTCCTGAGAGGCTCTGATATAGGATTAACAGGTGGGAGTTGTATTTGCGTCCTCTGTGCAGTGAGGTCAAAGCCCTCTTTGCTCCTGGGCAGTGTGGTTGTGCCAGAAGCCTGATGTGTGCAGTGTTTGCTGTGCTTTCCACCAGGCAGAGCACAGGGGTGGCTTTGGAGCCAGGGATCAGCCCTTGAAACTTCAGCTTGGCAAGCCTGAACACAACACCAGGGGAAAACAGAGCAACATGAAATGTCATCTTGTAATTTGTAAAGCTGGTGTGAGACTGGAAGCATATCTGCTCTGCATTTCCATAGAAGACCTCTTACTTTGCTTCTCAGGGTATTACAGTGGGAAAGCCTGGATTTCTCTCGTAGAAAAACTGACTTCTTTATCTGATAGTCTTTTTCCTAGCACTTTTAATTCTACTTCATCTAAGGCAAATCTAGCAGGCAGAGCTGAAGCTGTATTAGGGCTGCTGCTCCTAGCTGTCTCAAGTGAGGTAACACAGACAGATCCTTCTGTTGCAGCCCTTCCTCTTCCTGGCAGCACTGAAATGCCACTCCAAACTAATCACAGGCTGACTTCCATCACAGTCAGAGGAAAAACACCCTTATAATAAGGCTGCACCTGTATGGGTTCCCTGCATTTTTCCTGCAGGCTGAAAAGGTAATTGGGGCGTGCTGAGGGTGGCAACAAACCCTTCAGAGACCTCCTGAGTGAGAATAAGACAAAGTCTGGTTGCTGTACTAGTTTTATTATTTCAGTTATTACAGTAAGTGGAAAACACTGTGTAGAAAGCCAGAGCAAGGCCTGTCCTAAAACCATTTACAGTATGATACTATCCTACACTTGTGCCCATCTTTGCTGATAAACTGTAGTGTTTTCATCTGTGCCCTCCCAGCACAAGGCACAGCAGGCTTTGTCCACCTTCTCAGTAGAAGAGCTACCATATCACCATTTCAGCAGCAGGAGAGTGAATTGTCCCAGCAGGAGAGAACATACCCAAGGTAGAGGAAGAGGGGAGAAGTTTACCTCAAAGTGGCAGGGAGCTCTGAGGGGAGCACCTGAAAGGGATGGGGCTGTGCCAAGTGAAGGAAGCAAGTTCAGCAAGTGAAACTTTAACAGTGGAAGCACTGCATGTGAGGGAACCTGACTATGTGCTACTGCAGATTAGAAACATGCTCCAAGCATCTTTGTTCTGTATCTCAGGGGTGGATAAGCAGCAACAAGGTACGCACGTGCCTTGGCAGACTAGCACAGCTAGAGTTGTGCATTGAGTTTGACTGGATTTTACTCTTGTTTGAGTACCAAGCAAACCCAGTAGTGTAGAGCAGAGGTAGAATAGTGGAGAAGGAAAAGACTTCATGTCACCAGAGAAGTGAACAGGTTGATCTCTTAGAGAAGGCCACGCTCTGCTGAAGTGCACTCAGGCACTCCTGGAGTTACATCCTAGTAACAGGGGCTAGATCCAGAACCAGCAGTACATTCCTTTAAAGTACTATCCTACTAGAACAGAAGCATAGGTCTAGCAGGACAAGCTGCCCCCCCCATACCCATTTTCATGCCAGCACTGCCAACTTGTTTAATCATCCAGTTCCAGAACAGACTGAAGCCCCATTCATCTTCCAGCTAAATAGACTGTGGTGTTCCTTCAAAGAGGAAGCAGAGCTGACAACTGTGCAGTTGTGCCTCCAGTGACAACTGAAACTTAATACGTCATCTCAGATGTTGAGGAAAGGTAGTGGAGAGTTTCTTGCAGGACAGTTCCTCCAGAGAGGATGCCGCAGACAGCTGCCTACTAGTGAACAGTTCTTTCTTTCTGTCTCTGGTAATCTGGACAGGAAAAAGAAGGCAAGGCTGAAGGGGCACGAGAGCAGTTGCTGATGGTGAGGAGAAACTAGCCAAGATGTTACAAGAAAACAAATTCTGCTTATACTTCATTAATAGAAACTGTTTACTGCCTTCATAGATAGCAGCTGGTTTTAAAATAGCACATTTGCATCTCAGCTAGTTGTTGAAAATAAGCATTGAAATAACTTGAAAGTCCTCTCTTCCCTTGCTGCTTATTTTTCTATACTTACATTTAAGGGTCAGTTTCCAATTTAATAAGAATCCTTGTTTGGCTTCATCTGACCTTTGCCCATTCCTTCTTTCTTCCTGTGAGTATTTCTGGACATTATGGGTTCAGAAATCAATAGCTAAGAAGTTTTTTCCCTCTTGGCAATATTCAAACATCCTTATAGAGATGGACTGAAAACACAGGCAGTGTTTATCTATATCAGCACAGGTCCGCTAGCAACAGAACTAGTTCCTGTGTTAGTCAAGGATAAGCAGGTTCTTGTACACTTCCATGAGAAACCATCTCAGCTTTTAGCACTGCTTTCTTAAGACCTGCTCTACAAGATTCTATGCATGAGCAGTTGAAGCTAATCCCTGCTGTTTTGATTTGATAACTTTTCTGATCCCCAAATCAAAGACCAGTGTTTTCTAAAATGAAGACTGCTTGTGTGGCAACACCTACGATTTCAGACTCATCACTGCTAAGCCCAGGTGAATCAGCAGGGATGCAGAGCAGTCTGTTGCCCAAGGAGAAGTGATTTGGAGCTAGCAGGCACTTACTGTAAGGGAAGTAACGCACACGCATGGTGATTTCACGGGCTGTCTTCAGGATCTCCACAGCCTGAAAGCAGAAAGAGTTGATCAATGCTCAAACTGTTTTGGAGGATAGGAAACAGCAGTGCATCAGTTACGCAGTGCCCCCAGCTGAGCTAGTGAAGGAGAAGGTGCGTGCACCGCTTCCCATCCTCCTGCTTGGGAGGAGAGCACATGCTGGGGAGCAGAAGTACTCACCTTGCTGTGCTCGATGTCCTGGAAATCCACATCATTTACAGACAGCACCTGATCTCCTTCCTGCAGCCCAGCTCTGTGTGCATCTGAGTCAGGGATCACCTGCAAAGGACAGAGTGGATGCAGCACTGCTGACACACTATGGTCAATACTGCAGGTCCAAGAGCTTGCATAGCATGCTTATGCAGTGTGTTTACACAGGGTGGGGGATGACGTGGAGAACAGGGACTGCAGTGCTCCCTGCAGGCTAGGGAGGGGTAAGCAAATGGTGCAGCATTGCCTGCGTGCTACCTGGAAAGTGGCAGATTACAGCTCTGAGTCTGGAGATTCATATAAAGGCAGATGACAGCCTCCACGCACACCCAGCTGGCTCAGCAACACCCAAGGGAACAGACAGAACAGAACACAGAGAAGCATGAACACACCTTAGAGATGAAGATCCCCAGCTGTGAGGCCTTTCCTCCCCGGATGTTGAAGCCCAGCTGTAAGACAAACCAGATAAGCAGTGAAACATCACTTCTATGGCAATCCCACACCCAGCGCCCACAGGGTTGTTCTCTCATGCTTCTCCTTTACCAGCTCCTCTCACAAGACGCTGCCATTCCCTATGGCTGTCTCCCTCCTCCATACACAGCACTCCCAGCAGGGCAGCAGTCCCCCCCATCAGGCCCAGCACCACAGAATCACAGAATGGTCCGGGTTGGAAGGGACCTCAAGGATCACAAAGCTCCAACCCCCTGCCACACGCAGGGCCACCAACCTCCACATTTCACAGCAGCCCAGGCTGCCCAGGGCCCCATCCAACCTGGCCCTGAACACCTCCAGGGATGGACGGGGCATCCACAGCCTCTCTGGGCAGCTGTTCCAGCACCTCACCACTCTGTGCTGACCATCCAGGCTTCACCTCCACGTGCTCTCTGGCACTCAGTCAAAGCTTATCGCTCCCTTACAGCTTTGCCAATTTAGGGAAAACAACGTGAATTCAACAGGAAAAAAGGCCACACCGAGGTCAAGAGTGACCCGGTCAGTGCCGCAGCGGGGTCCCACAGCCTCACCTGCGCCCCGGGCGGCTTCTTGAGCACGACGGTGCGGGGCAGGAACTGGGTGAGCTCGTTGTTGTAGTCGGGGTGATAAACCCTCTGCAAAACAAAGCGGCGGGCCTGAGGCGCTGCCCCGAAGCCGAGCCCCGCCGAGCCGGACCCCCCCCTCAGAGCCTCCCCTCACCTCGTGCGGCGGCACCCACGCGGGCGGGCTCTCGTAGGGCGGCAGGAAGACCACCGGGAAATCATCGTAGGGCAGCCGGCCCTCCATGCCGCGCCGCGCCCTTTCGGCCTCTCTCGGCCCCGCCTCTCGCGCGGCGCGGCGCGCGGTGATGACGTCGAGTTCCATGATTGGCGGAGCGGTGCGCGGTGATGACGTTTAGCTCCGTGATTGGAGGAGCGGCGCGCGGCACCGGTTTGAAAGCGGGCGGTTGGGAGCGCCGCCATTTGCGATCCGGTGGGGCGGCACTGAGGGCTGCGGGCCGCTCTGCGCTGTGGGGCCTGCTTGCAGCCTCACGGGCTCGGCTCCTTCCGCGCCTCTCAGCCCGCTCCGAGCCTGCCCGAAACGATGCAGGAGGAGGAGAAGGGGATCCCGGTGCGCGTGGCGCTGCGCTGCCGCCCGCTGGTGCCGAAGGAGACGAGCGAGGGCTGCCAGATGTGCCTGAGCTTCGTGCCCGGGGAGCCGCAGGTGATCGTGGGGAGCAACAAGGCCTTCACTTACGACTACGTGTTCGACCCGTCGGTTGAGCAGGAGGAGGTCTTCAACACCGCCGTCGCTCCGCTCGTACGGGACATCTTCAAAGGTCTGGCTCTCGCCCTCCGCTCGCGGCCGCTGCCTCGGTTGGGAAGATAAAACGCACTGCTGAGAAGGGCCGAACCGTGGCTGGTATCGCAGAACGATCGAATCGTGGAATGGCTGGGTTGGAAGGGGCCTTAAAACCTGGCCGGCCCCGAGCCCTGCGCTGCAGGCTGGGTGCTCGCTGCTCAGGTTGCTCAGAGCCCACGTGTGGCCACGGGCACCCAGCTGTGGGCAGCGGGCAGGCTGCCCTCAGAATTACCCCCGAGCTTCTAATACAGATCTACCCTCTTTTTGTTCTGAGCCCCTTGTCCCCCCTTGTCCTCTGAATTCGTGAATTCATAAGCATCCTGAACTGCTGCTGATGCTGCAGTGCAGTTAGAATGACAGAGAGCTCATGAAAGGTGAGAAGGGCCCCACAAGTGAAAGTAAAAAGGCAAGAAGGCTTCACAGTGACTGACAATAAGGAGAATGAAGGGGAATAGTTAGAGTTTATAGAAGCAAGAATGTAGAGCTTGTTAGAAAGTAAGAAATAGCAGACACTGTGTCTGGGATAGTGAGGGGGATGAAGACCATAAAGATAAGGGTTTGAGAACAGCCTGAGGGCTTTTGGCCGGGAGGTGATTAGATGTCCACAGGGCAAGAAGAAACCAGTTTAGGGGTTGCCCCCCAAACGGTCAGAAGTTTACAGCGAGAAAGGTCAGAAGCCTTCACAAGGAAAACAGCGAATCTTTATCCCACGACCCACTATGCACACGCAAGAGGGGAGGGTCTGCATGCTAACTCTCAGGGGTGTAATGAATATGTATCTGAATTCCAGGAAAATCATTGATTATGTTTCAGCTCAGCCTATATCTGTAGCACGATTTTTCCAGATGGTGTGCAAGTTAGGCAGATCTATCTCCCTTGCAGCCAGTGTCTGCTCAGCACTGAATAAACCATGCCTGCTTTGTAATCTTACTTGGGTTACAGAGTTTGA